AGCGGATATCATCCACCAATTTCTTTTCGGCGCTCACGTCAATTGTAAAATTTTCATAATTCGTAAATAGGCATGCACACATGCGCTGAAGCGAGGTCAAAAAGTGGCTAATTTTTTGTTCGGTCAAAAAAATCTCTCAGCAGCGCAAACCCTATGGGTTCTTTTCTGGTGCAAAATAATCTACGAAAAATTCTCTATCTATCCATTGTTGGACAAGATGCCTGTCAATTCTCATAATGGAGCACTGCCATGTCAAAAAAGACAGATTCGAAGAAAAACGCTGTGAAGTTTTTGCATTCTTTCTTCTTTAACAAGGATTTGCGCAGGTCTCAATATGCGTTTCATAGCCAAGGAACTGCTCAACACATAGAAACTAAGATCTTGGAAAAAAGTTGACTCTGAAAGAAGTTATGACATTTTGAACTCAAAAAATTCAAATCGGACAGAACTTATGCAGCAACCTAATATAGGTGAATCCAAAATTCCGTGCTTTTTTCAGATTGGATTTTTTCATTTGGATGCTGTAGGTCGATGATTTTGATTAAAAATTGTGCATTGAGATAAGTTTTTCATAAATGCTCTTTACAACAGCCGCTCATTTCTTGTAGAGCTGATGGTACGGTACCACTGCTGTAGGTGATAAAGAGCTAGGGTCAGGAAAGTTCAGAAGAGCATGGCTTCTTGCTAGCTAGCTAAGGAGAGAACAAAAGGGCTTTAAATGGAAGTCACGATTTTTTTTCAAGTTTTTTGCTCATCACGTAATCAGTTTAGTTAATTTGAACAATGTGTGGGTGAAGGGCGAGAGAGAGGAGAATAAACGATAATGAGGGTGGAAGATGTTCTGAGAAGCGCAACATTCCATTTTTTGCGCATGAGATGTTTTAAAAGCATCAGCTTATATTCACAATAGAAAACAAAGCACTGCTTCTCGTTCATCACTGTAGGATTACGATAATAACCTTGAAGAGTTTTGCGCGGATGAGAGCTATATTGCCCCAAAAAATTATTCGAGTAATCTCAATACTGTGTCATCAGGTTGATGAGCAGCGCTAATCTCATAAGAGTTTTTCGCTTGGGCGTATTCTACATTTTAAGACAGTAATACCGTCATTGCGCTCTCCTAATAATTATGAAAATTCTGAATATGACATTTAAACCGTTACATGTAAAAAGTCATTTCCCAGAATCAGCGATCTTATCTCACCAGAGAAACAGGGCTCGGCAGGAGGTGGCTAGATGAAAATGGAAAAAACGAAGTCCCCCTTGACTTTTGGGAATTTTTACGAAGTCCCCTTTGACCCTCAACCAAATTTCCTCTAAAAACCTGAAAAATTCCCCAAAATCCCCCAAAAAAAGAAACGTCGACTAAAAAAAAGGTCGCCGTCGCCAATTTTCCGTGTCTCTTCGGTCACAAAAACGAAACCCCCTTTGCTTTTCGTCCCAAAAACGATATCCAGCTTGCTTGTAAGCCACCTCGTGCCGAGCCCTGCAGAGAAACATTAAAGCGTTTTAGAAATTGAAGTGTGTATCCTCAAGTCATTTGTAACTCGATATGTGAGTTTGCAGACTATGCGCAACAACCGACGTCTACATTGCTAGTAACTTCTCAGCAAAATCTTTTCCTGCGTAACAATCTGTTAGAAATGTTTGCTATTAACTATAAATATTCATTTAAAACGAAATATGTAAACAAGAAAACGAAGAAAAATCAGTGGCTATAAGCAGATTCTATTTAAAGTTCGTCAAGATGCGCGCACTGTGTGCAATATGCATGGTAAGTTATAAATGACTCGATGATAGCTGATCTACAATGTTGACATTGTGCTGTAGATTTCTACCTTATCTTACCGTAATGAGGAGCGATGGGTGATTCAAAATTGTAGTATAAATCTAAGTTAAAGCCACTGCAGCTTCACCTAAGTTTCTTTTTGAACGGAGAGTTACTAGAAGTCAAAGTTCGATGCATTTTTTGGAACCCTGCATATTTTGCTAACGATCAACACTTCCTGTTGTTTCCCTAATTTCTGAAATTCTCCTGAAAAATATTTCAGGACAAATACAAAGTAGCAAGTAGCTACAGTATTCACGGTCACTTAGGTTTTTTCGAAACTCTCCAATTTCTCTCATTGTCGAGTGACATCATTGCGCTAATCCCATGTCACTAATGGCCTTTTAAGAAATTCTGTCAAAATTCAGGCCAGTAAACGATGTTACACTGAAACTTGTGTGACTTTCGATTCGGATGACATTCTAACAGGTTAAAGTCTCGTGAAAGGGAAAGATCAACGGACTACTGTTCATGTCTCATAGATCCTATCGGTTTACGGTGGGTATACTGTAAGTTAGAGGGAGGTTCTTGAATGACGCTGTAGTTTTTCGAAATTCTGATATTAGAAGCAGCATCAATTTTTTCCCGCTTTGGCTTACGAAGAATTCTTTGAGAAGAACCAAAAGCTTCTACTGGAAGGTGGACTTGAAATATTTAAACTCTCCACTTATATGCATTTTAGTAATTTCATTTCACATTTTTTGAAGAGTTCAAATCATAGTATACCTATGAAGTTAGAAGAATGCTATTAAGTGAATACGATCCCGAAAATTCGAGTCACGAACCTGTATAAATCTTTTCTTCTCCACTTTCCATCCAAAATTTCGTTTCGTCAGCCTTCTGAAGAAGAAGACCAGAAGAATTTATGGCTATTCTATTTAAAACTGACATTATATGCTAAAGAATCAGTGTCCTTTTGCATTGTCTGTCGTTACAGAACTTCACAAAATATATTTCTTACTGGCTTTGGAACTTCCAATCGACATTTTATCATCCTAACCCTTTTATTGCATTAACTTCTAAGCAATCCATGATAAACGAAACCGGTAAATGCTTTGTTCTGCAATTGCTGAGTAACTTTGCAAGAATAAAAGTACAGTGAGGGAGAACATCCAAAAAGGACACTGACACAAATCGTAATGAGCCCATGCAAAAAGTGCATTTGGAAAAGGAATCCCCATTACGTGTCAGGTGTTTAGAAACGCTAATGGCCGCTTTAGTGTTTGCATTTCGAGTTCTGTTTTACTGTGAGTAACCAACCGTTCGTCAAATTTGTACTTTGTAGCTGGGGATGTAGCGACTATAAGGTTTTTATATGAAGGCCATAGCTATCATGTTAGAAAGTCATAGTTGCTTTATAACAGCAAAGCTCAAACTCTTCTCCTGGCGCTTATTTTTCTGGTTGAGGACCATTATTTGTTCTAAAATTTTATTCCTTGAGATTCCTATAATATATTGGACCTAGATCGACGAATGTCCCTATTCGATAATATATGCAGTAGTACCCTTTCTGTTGTTTGAGTTCTAACACTGTTTTTTTTCTCATCTGGTGGTTACTAATTTGATGTTGTAGCGCGCCTTTGGCGTAATAAATAAATAAATAAATTCCCCATTGACTTACACAATATACATATTTCTCTTAACAAAGATGAAAGGATGCTCAAAATGGAAATTAAATGTAGTTCATGAGTGATGTAAGAGTATAAAGTTTAAAATTTTATCGCGAAGACTTGGTTCCATACATCAGCAGTCGAGGTAATTTTGAACAGGTCAAAGTCAGCTTTATAATAACGAAAATAGATTTACTGCTCTTACTAGCCTTTTTCAAATAAGACGTCAGCCAACATAGAAAAAATTTTGAAGGGTCTCATGAGTCTTCGCCATGCTCTGTCTAATTTTTTAGTTTGTGAAATGGTGAGGAAATATACTGAAAAAAATATAGTCATTATCGGTTGAGTGAAACTAGAGACAGCATATCTTGCATTCTCTTTAGAGTCAGTTAAGTGACAGCAATCAGTTTTAGTTGGTACTAATTTTTAATCAGATAATCTCAAAGTCTTCTCTGGAGTTTGGGAGAAGAAAGTTGAGACCTTATGCGGAAATAATTTTGATTGCCATTCTTTTATTTTCTACTCAGTTAGTCCACTATTTGGATTCCTATCATAATCCATTACAGACCCTTTTCATAACCATTTCGATTTCTGAAGGGCCGCTGCTTCCTGCGCTTAAGAGCACAAATAAGTTGCACATTGTTGTGCAATATTTCAAAGGTGCAAAAAGTGGAAAAAGCTTCGCAGCTGATGGGTTGCACAATAATTTATTGTTGTTATTTCAACTACTGCAAATAATCACAAATATTTTTCATGTTAGTGATTCACTAACGAGTTCTTTACAAAACATTCACATCTCATTTGTCAAAATCTAGCAATTATATTTCTTTGCTGATGTTTCATCGAAAAAGAATTCACTGCACATTACAAAAATTTGTTAATAGCAGTGTTTGAGGAGTGTATAGGTATTTGTGTAACTTGTTCTTTACTTTTCATTCTTTGCCACATCATTATTGTTCTGCGGCAAACAAGTCGAGATCGCCTTTTTACATCTATGCAACTTCAATTTGCTTACTATTTTATTTTAAGTTTTTATTTACTTCAATTTGTCCTCATATTTGGCTTTGCCTCATCAGCCCGAAGAACACAGCGAAATGTAGATGTTAGATTATCTTAAGTCTATTAATATTTTGTACTCGGATTGGAAGTTGCTGCGGATTTCTCTCCCCTTATTCGATTAAGCTTTGAAATTCTGGTTTAGCAACAGACGCAGACGACGAGAGTGCTGAGTGTGCGTCTTAGTGGAAGAGACGTAGAAGTCCGTAACTGCGTCCAGTTCACAAACTTATAATTACATATTTTTTGCCATAAAACGCCTCATTCTTCTTTTCAATCGTGGATTTGATACAAAAAAATCGAAGTTATCGAGATTACCGAATGACTTCCCCTTTGTCAAACATGCATCTCGTTCCATTTTATCAAATTTTGCTCTCAAATGTTCTCCAGTCAAACAGTCACCTCTTAATCGTTGTCTTTGTTCAGTACAATTTACTCGATCGTTTTTCCATGCAATCATGTGATTACTGCAAAAATGTCTATTTGCAAACCATTAACTGTACAATTGTAGGTTCTTAGACCTTCCCAACACAACACACGAGCGAAACCGTTCGTTCCTTCTCACTTGCACGTCTCGTTTCGACTCGGAGCCCATATTGTGTGACTAACTGACGCCTGAGAAGAATCGGCTATTTTGCCTTGGGCTATGGCAGACAACTACATTTGCGTTGATCCACTGTCGGCCAAGCCTATCGACTGCTGGAGGAAATATGTCAGACAAGGACGAGTTGCTGAACCTGCTAAAACATTAAAGTGAGGTGAACTTTATTTCAAAAGTGAACCGTAGCTTTCAAATAAAAAAAAAAGAAGACCAAGTTTCGATTATGCCAGACATTAAAAATATGAGCGAGCTGAACCTGCTTGTGTATGCCTTAGAAATATGGTAGGTTTACGCAAAAAGAAGAGAAGGAGCCTCTTATCGTGCAGCCTACCGTAACTTTATAAATTATCCTTTATCTTTATCTTTATCTCACACACGTTAACGTGTGCCAAAGCCTGTGTGAGTAAAGAAACATTGCTAGAGTGAGAGACTAGCCTGTCACCTTTCAGCAGAACAAACAAACAGCAAGTAAGGGCCCTGAGGTGTTGAGGAAGAAAAATTTCTATGTGGTCAAGGGAGGTCAGGTGATTGGCTGGGGGAATGCCACTGCCACTTTTTCGGGCCGTCCAAAACGTCTGCGATTGGTTCCTGCCAGGTATCCACCAACCTGACACCACCGATGCTTGGGTACACCCGCCTTATTCTGGGTAAGCCATGCATGAAACGCAGCTGTCTGCGGTCTCAAGGCGCAATGCTGTGATTAATAGTCAATCAAAATCTTATTCTCCTCAATGAAATGAGTGCAAGCCTTCTTTCGCAGTATGAATTTGTGCTTTTCAAATCAATTTAAGGCGCCTAGTTATCAGAATAAACAATCTTGGTGGTCTTGAACTTCATCAATTTTTATTGTAAATAATCACAACGGCATGTAGATAACATCTCTCAGATGATGTTGACGCAAAATAAGACGACCTAAATGCTAAAGTTGCCATTTACAGACTCGACACCCCAGTATTCGACAACAAAGTCAGATTTGTATGCATCTCCGATACACATGAAAAACTAGACGAAGTAAGTATTCATTCTTCTTTCCAATCACTTTAATGGAGTCGGAACCACTCCCGAATTCACTTTGCGACAGTGAAAAGTGATTAACTAAAAAAGATACAAACGCAGGTGGAAGTCTTTGACTTTGTAAAACTTTTTTGCGATTACCAAGCAATGCACTTTGAATTGATTTACCAGTCCTGTGGACGGAACGCTCCTTATCAATAAAGTTTGAGTCGCTGTACAGTGCTCCAACAAAATGGGAATAGGGCATTATTGATCGTGAGAAATTTTGATATCATTACTTATGAGGAAGCTAGGGCCGGGCATACTTCACGCCATTTCAGTCGCGACGCGATTTGGCAGTTCGCCAGAAGTTTTCAGATTCAACACTAGCAACTACGCATGCATAGTGTGTAAAACTTACGTGGATTGATGAAATGTCCCATATTCTGTACATTTAAAATGTGCGTACAATGAGCTATGGACATTTGGAATTCGCGTCGCGACTGAAATCGCATGAACTATGCCCGGCCCTTCAGTCAGGATTACACCTGAATTGTTGGTCCATCCTACCCGGAAGTCTTATTGTTAAGCAAGAATGATCCACACATTTCAGTTGTGTGTCGGTAATGAGACGAAAATTATTTTCCTAGATTGAAAGCGACTGCTGCTGCCTTGTTTTTTGCCCTATCAAACAAAATCTAACTGCACTTTGCTAATTGGCCGTGGTGTTCGCACGGTTCCATTGCAAAGCCTTTATTGGTAAATGAAAACATGACTCGTAAGAGTATTTATTAACAAAGACATAGCACACTAGCATAGAACACTACAGGCTAAACCCATCATTGATGAACCTAAGCTACAGAAACTTTAATTACTTTTCCCAGTAAAGGATGACAACTTATCTGTCAGGGACGCAAGCCAGCTTTCCTATCTTACGCGCTGCTTCTTCTCCCTTAGCTCCCCCTTTATTAACTTCTTTTTTTAACATGAAGAAAGACAATGTTGTCGTCCCCCCCCCCGGCCATGAGAATGCATGTCGTCGAAGTAACCATGAATTGAGGGTGATGCATGATTTATACACGTTTACTCATCAAGTTACGCATACGCTGCAGTGTGAGGAGCTTAGAAGAAGTAATTTGGAAGAACTGACCATGGAGACCTAATTGCGATTTATTGCTGGTAGAAAGTTTGAACAGAAAATTTCATGGAGTTCTGCTATATCGGACCGTACCGTTGTTGATTGCTATGAACAGTTCTTGGTTATGTACTGTGTCACGCGAGTCTTCAAGATGTACATACAACCAAGTTTGCGTATGCACACCTCTATGATATGATTAGGCAACAAAAATAACGTAAAAAAGAACAGAATAGATACGTAGGACATGAATGCTAGAAGAATGTTAAGCTGCAGGAAAATCTATGATATTGAGATTATAAAGGGATTATTGCTATAAATATGCTACTTATGCTAGAAAGGTTGAACTGCACTGGTCTAACATTCGCACTCCTACAGTCTTGGTGAATAACGCAGCTTGCTACGTTTCTCATCGATACGCGAACCGACCGATCCATTCGGTCAATGTTCCGATGCTTACATCTAAGGAATTATGACTGAACGCCTCTAACAAAGAAAGGATACTTGGTGACGCCGGCCATGTGTAATGCGATGTATACCTTAAGGTGCACCTCGAAACGCTGATTCTAAATCTGTGCTCGAAATCTGTGAAGCGATTATTTGAAGGCAATAATGAACTTTTTTTCGTAGAGAATTTGCGTACTTTTAGGCAGTTAAAATCATTCTGATCTATTTTATCGTTTGAAGCTATTGAGGAGAATGAAAGGTGTAACGTTGTATTTATACCTAATAAAATCGTATTTCAGCATTTGAAGAGGAAAGCAAATTTTTTATTAATAATTTTCACCCTCCGCAATAGGGCAAATCTATTGTGAAATAATTGTAACTCCATCCAGGTTCTCGTTTCGCAGATATGGAAAAAAGTATCCGAACCAGCATTGAAAGGCACATTTATTGATATACAAACCATTATGATTCGTCGGAGTCACCAAGTATCGTTCCCTGCTAAGTTGGGATCCAGTCTATCTCAATGTCGAGAGGACAAAGCATTATGTCAAGTAGAAGTTTTTTGTACCGAAATCACTTGAGAAAAATCGCAGCGGCAGTCGTAAAAGTTTAAATTCTAGATCCGCTAGAAATCACTTTGAGATCCCAACATTTCCCTATAAACTGGTGTTGTAGATTGAAATCTGCATTCCTCTTATATTCGTTGGAGTTTTGCGAAAATCTAAACGTGCGGAATGTCACTGCTAGCTACTTTTAGGCCGAAACTTACATCATCAAGCTGCAGCTATATGTAAACTCCGATAGACCAAAGAAACATGAGGAAAAAAATCGAAGTTAACATCTGCACTTGCTGGAGTAGTGAAAATGCCACAAGCTACTGGGCACTTACGTTGTACAACTGGCAAAGTATTACTCAGTCACATTTAGGCAGAAAATCTGCACACTTGTGAGAACAACTATGAAGCTTGTACATCTGTTGTCATAGCGATTTTTCTAACCTAATCATTTTATGATGGGTCTGGACTGATTCTTACAGGGGAAGGATACTTGGATGCCGTCGCCATTCATAACGAGTATACCAAAAAATGCGCTTTTGAATGCTGATTCGTAGACTTTCTTTCATATCTGCGAAACGATAATCTGAATGGAGTTATAATTTTTTTTTCATTAAAAAATTGCGTTCCTGCGGAGGGTCAAAATCATCAATAAAAAAATTTTCTCTCCTTTCCAACTGCTGAGTATGATCCAGATAGTCTAAATAAATATAACGACGTCTAAAATTTTCTTCAGTAGCATCAAACGGTAGGCTAGATCAAATCTGGTGATTTTTACTATCCAAAAGTAGGCTAAATTTTCAAGAAAAAAGGTCATAACTTTCTTCAAAAGACCGTTTCGCAGATTTCGAGCACAGATTCAGAATCTGCATTCGAAGGCACATTTTTTGGTATACAAATCATTAGGAATGGCCGCGGCATCCAACTATCCTTCCCTTGTTAGAGTAGTGCAACAATGGTGAATTGTTGCGCACAGTTCACAGTTCTATCCAACTTCTTTTAGTTTTTGCCGATGATCCCCGATGGCGACGTCCTTATCCATGCAGGAGATTTCACAAATTATGGCGATCTTGGAGAAGTTATCAAGTTTAATGCAGAAATCGGTACGTGTTCAGGTTGACTAGACTTGTTTACACAATTGCGGAACATCTGAGAGAAAAGGCAGCACGCTTGAAAAGTCTGCTGGAAGTGTCTAATGCTGATAAACCGGTTACGTTTTTGGTTTCTGGCGTTCGCACCGCGTGGACAAAATTTACTTTCTCTTACGGCCCTTCTTGCACCGAAAGTAGTTTTACGGAGAATTAACTTTTATTGCGTAGAAGGAGACATGTGTGGTTTGTGGCGCAGTGATGGGTAAAACAAGTGTTTCAGGTAAACTCCCTCACAAATATAAGATAGTAATTGCTGGAAATCACGAATTGGGATTTGAAGATGGTGAAGAAATGAACGATAAACAACTCGCCGGTTTGAATATGCTTGGTATCAACAAAGCATACGAGTTGCTCAGCAACTGTACATACCTCTGCGATCGTGCCATAGAGGTTTGTTCCATATCTAACGAGTTTGGTATGCAACTGAGAGGTGAAATAAGAGATTCCGCAGCTTCTGCTTGCTAAATGATTTACCTAATTTGGCAACTTTTGCATTCAGGCATAGTGCTTTGTAAACATATTTCAAAGTTGTAGTAAAATTAATTTTCTAAACATTCTATAATTATCCAGAATGTTTCTTAACGTTTCCAAGCTGTAAAATCTTTTCTAATCTTTCTGAAATTCCAATAAGAATAATACAAAAGAAAACGATTTCTAAAAACTTGAGAATCCTCTTTAATTTTTCATTCGAATCTATGGTTTACTCTCAATGTTTACGTATCACAAAAAAAATCTCTTTAGAGGCTTTTGGGTCGGGGTAGACTGCGTGGCTTACGCGACGTATGCAGCGTACGCCGCGTATACCAAAATCTTCCAAACAAGTTTCGTTTTCCGGCTCTTTATCACCAGCTGCCAAAAATACAAAGTTTAGACAATCAGAACTGCTATGAAATGAATGAAAGAAAGCAAAGAGGAAATTTTGTATACCATACTTCAACATCGTTGAGTTTGCAAATGTACACTTCTGAGCTCCTGCTGTCTGGATAAATCTTCTTCAAGCTAACATAATTTGAAAAAGCTAAAGCATACTATGACCACTTATAAGTAAGACTTATAGCGCGCTTGACAATATCCAATAGTTCCCTTTCCAAGAATAATCAGCAAGTCAAAAATGCTGACCCTTTTTCCATGAAAAGTCTTTACAGCACGCCAACCTGTTTCTCTGTTTTCATCAACGAGAATTCCAGTAATAGATTACAAAGTCGGTGAATCAAATTCTTGATTCCAAGGGGCATTCCCTTTGATAGACAAAAGAAACGACAGAATTCAGTTACTTGCATTTGTGAGTCGAAGATATATCACAACGGAAGTATGACTCTGAGCATTCGGCTCATCACTATCTCGGCTTCTTTATTGCTCATAGTGAGCAGTAAAAAATTTGAGATAAAAATCAATCACAGACAATAATTGATATTTTTGGATAAGATGTAGATATACACTGAAAAACCACTTCCTTTATAGGTATACGGTATAAAGGTCTATGGTGCCCCGTGGCATTCAATGCCAGGCTATTCCTTCTACCGCCCACGGGGACAGAAAATGCTACACAAATGGAATCAAATTCCCCTAAAAACTGACGTCTTAATCACACATACCCCACCTTTGGGTAAGTTCGCTAGCTTAAGTTGCTAGCTTTATTCGCGACCCCCACAAATTGGGGCTAAAATAGGACTCATCATCACAAGTCATTAAAGGCCATGGCGACTTCAACTCTTGGAATAAAATGGATGGAATTCTTGCCGGAGATGTAGAATTACTCAACACCGTTGAACAACGTGTAGTCCCAAAATACCATGTCTTTGGTCATGTTCATCAAGTAACTTGATTACTATTACTTTGTTTTTACTTTCTATTCTTCCATTTCTGTTTTTCCTTTCAGATGCACGGAGCCACCACAAATGGAGTCACCACATTTATCAACGCTGCACTTTGTGATCATAAACTTCGTAGTGCCTACGACCCTATCATATTCGATCTTCCACTTCCGCGCGGTGTAACTAAGTAAATATATATATTCGTACTTTGCCCAAATGAATAATTTCAGAATAATTGCGTTGTCTACATGATAAATACAATGATATAAATACACGTTTAAAAGAAGAGAAGGTATTGTGACAAGTGTAGAATTCCCACTTGATCAACATCTCTGAGTATAAGAAACGAAAGAAATTTTCTTCTGTTTGGTTCTCAGTTGTCTAAGATGAGGGAACTGTTCAAAGTGTGTCATTCCAGAACCCAATGTAAAAAAATTGAGAGCTGTTTTGAGTGGCTATCGGTGGTACGAATACAAAACTTGCTGTTCATGTGTTGAGAAGGAATGGAGAAATATATATATATATATATATATATCAGTGGCGTACCGAGGGGGGGGGGCGGGGGGGGGGGCGCGCGCCCCCCCCCCGAGAATGGGTCGCGAAATTTTTGAAAGTTACTTATATGGGTTATAAAAATGTGCAAGTGACTTGTTTATTTTTGTAAATAATTAAAATAATTTTTAAAAAATTTTCGAAAATTCAAATTAGCTTTGTAAAAAAAAATTTTTCGGGGGCGTGGCTGACGCCACGCCCCCTTTTTCTTGATTTTCGGGGGTATGGGGCCGCAAAGTTTGAGAAGCACCCCAAAAAAATTTTTGGAGCGCGTGGCTAACGCCACGCACCTTCTTTAGAAAAAAATTTTTGTCGCGCCCCCCCCCCCGAGCCGAAATCCTGGGTACGCCACTTATATATATATATCAGTGGCGTACCGAGGGGCGGGGGCGCGAGGGGCCCCCCCCCCCCCCCGAGAATGGGTCGCGAAATTTTTGAAATTTACTTACGTGGGTTATAAAAATGTGCAAGTGACTTGTTTATTCCTTTTTCTTGATTTTCGGGGGTATGGGGCCGCAAAGTTTGAGAAGCACCCCAAAAAAATTTTTGGAGCGCGTGGCTAACGCCACGCGCCTTCATGAGAAAAATTTTTTGTCACCCCCCCCCCCCCTCCCCGAGCCGAAATCCTGGGTACGCCACTGATATATATGTATCATTTTCGAAATAAATTGTGATTGAAAGGATCACAAAATTTTACAACAGTTTACAGAGAAAAGTTCTATTATGATGCGCTTCACTAAGTCACCAGCCCCAATACGAGGGCTTCCCTTTAAAAAAGTAATTTTTCTCCTTAGCTACCCCACATAGTGCATCTTTGAATTATTGACAATCGAATTGCAAGGTACCAAAAAATTGCACACTGTCTGTTCGATGATAACTCTCCTTAGGGCTTTCGCAGAACTTCCGTTAAGCTTATGCATGCCGAATCGTACATGCCAAATCTTGCTTTGAGGGTATGCGCCTACGGAAGACTATAAACAATCACAGCAATTAGGAATCGAGCGGCGACGAGGCAGAGGTCCAAAAATGGGCAGAGTAGTCTTATAACAAGACGATCTCTCTGCGCTTCAACATAATCCCGCTAAAACTTCAAAAAGATTTTGGGCCAATGATAGCCAAATGTCGCTTTGAAAATGAAAATACTCGCAAAGAGCTGGGAAATCTGCAATCAAGTAAAAGTTATTTCTACATATGGATATAGCAAACGACCGTAACTTCGACTCAAAAGCTAGCCATTCCTCCAAATTGGTACCTTAAGTTTCTCGAAAGATTTGAGACAAGTCAGAAGTGGTAAAACAGTGTTTCTTTTTGGTGACATCTTGTATGCAATCAAAACTATGCTACCTTCACCACTGCGTTGAAAAGAAGTAATAAACTTTACGAAGAATTTTATAATGTTTCGGACGCACTGCGATTCTCAATAGACCCGTATATTGCATTGTCAGTAGAGTTTTCATACCTCTGCTGCTCCATACTATTATAAAAAGATAGCGCTATTCTATCTTCCGTGAAACCTCGCATCGTTATGAGAAAGCTTATGCTACTCCTTGCGTTAGGGTTTGAGTCGTTTGACTCAAGAAGAACTTGATGGACAAACTGTTTATAGCAAAACATTTAATATAACAATGATCTTTCTTACCAAAACAATGAAATGAGGTAGCAAGCCAGTTGTAAAGTAATAATCATTTCACAGTTCTCTCAGTTGTTGGGTAGGTGTGCATATGCGGATACTTCGCAACGGGCATACTGACGCGCTTTATTTACCGACACATTTCAGTACCACCAATGGGTTGTACTCATAGCAAGAAAAACTCGAAAATTTCTTCAGATAAACCAGTCCCAAAAGTAATCAGTGTAAGTGGTAAAGTGAAGAGTTTGCCAATGATATAGAGCAAAGTTGTTCAGGTGTCCCGGTCTCACTCGCGACCAGCAAGCATACAGTAGGTCTCCCAGACTATTCCTCTATTCTGTTTCGACTGCTTGCCTAAGGTACTCCGTATCACCGACCTCTTCAAGCAGTGAAAAAACAGCGAGAAACTCGCGACAGTCACACTCAAAAAATGACATGGTGGTGATTTGCACGCCGGAGAAGCTGACGACCCCAAAAAGTATCTTATATGAGAGATCGTCCGTCACAAAATTCAAGATTTCTTAGGCGCATCTGTACACAGAGAGCAAGAACACGAAGTGATGGAACTTCATCCGGAGGAGCTCGTGGTGTCTACTCCAGTCAATACACCGCCAAGACAAGATCCTATCGAGGCTGCGAGAGAAGCGGCGCGCGAAGCTGCTCGCGCGGCAGCGAGGGAAGCAGCTCGCGAAGCGGCTAGAGAGGCCGCCAAGGAGGCACGAAAAGAACGTCGAAGGAGAGAGGAAAGGCACAGGAATAGACATCATCCGCGTGAGTTTGATATAACTAGGCGGTTGGAGGTTTATGGAGGGTGGCGAGGTGCTGCTTAGACATGCTCGTCGCCTCAAAAGTTTGGCATCATGTGGGACCATTAATTGCGATCACACAAGCTTTATTATCAAAGTCTAGTACTAGACGGAGGCGGATGCTTATGAAAGGTAAGAGAAATGTCGGACGTCGTGATAATAATCAAGCCTGGAGTTCGCGGCTCCCCTCGCAAACCTCGCATAATTGCATGGGAGACTCAAAGACATTGTCGCGGCAGAATCAGCTTTTCTAGATATGATCGACTGATGCAAAGGATTTACGCTGACATCTTAAAGGCAGTGTCCAGGCAGATCTGAGCATAACGGTTTTTTGGATGGAAATTGATGAGGAGGTTCCAGCTAAGGCACTGCCCAAACTGCAGCGCAAGTTCTTCATTCACGGCTGAGATATCCGTCCCTAAATATTCCGCGGCTGCGGCGTGACCGTAACACTTAGGATTGATCCCAGCGCGAACGTGGTGTTAAAGGGAGAGAAGTCGTTTTCGGGTTACGGTCACGGCGCAGGCTCGGAGTTTTCGGAGACGGATTTCTCAGCCGTGAATGAACAATTTGCGCTGACCCTTGGATAGTGCCTAATTTAGGACTTCCTCATCAATTTCCAGGCAAGCCCTTCCGCTCCGATTTGCCTGGACACTGCCTTTAATTACTTCCCATATGATTCTGCCTTGCTGATGCAGAAGACTGCATCCAATTCGGCTCGACAGTTTGGTACGCGCTCGGACGGCTCCATTTGCCTATTCCGCGCTATGACATCATGAACTCGCGCATTATCGTCCCTACTAGCCAATGCAAAAATAACGCAAGGCGCAGGGTCTTTGCGATGGCACCTAGTACTTCCCATTTGAACTCTCTTCCAAAATCCTTTTCTCAAAAAATGCAAAAATCCTTTACTTGGTCGTTTTCACACTGTTCAAGGTGCGCTTTGGGTGCTGCGTAACAAGACGTTCCAGACCATAAAAAAGCTTCAAAGGTAGCACCCTGAGGGGTTTGACGATAACGATAGAAGCGTAGAGTGCAATAGCACCCACCCTGATCTCTTGCCGATTTTGCACCAGTCTTCTTCTAAAGGAAAAAACTGCTGGACCGCTGAGAAGCTACGACGTGGATGTCGCAGGTAGGCGGCGCTTTGATGCCCGCCCTCCCACCAATCTCGAACAGCAAGCCAGAGTGTGCATGTCGCACACAGTCACGACGCAGTGTCCACAACGACTCTGCGACTTAACCTTGGCAGTACAGTCTAGATTCAAAATCAAGGATTTCTGAGATAGCATATTTTCGACATTTGCTTTCCAAGCTGCATCTTCGGAATCAATCGTAAGGACAGGCCCATGTAAGCAAAAAATTCTCCATTAGAAGTTCTGTTCGAACGCTGCTTCTTTAGCTGCTGCAGTGCGCTGAGTTTTAAATGTCGTGTCTAAAGCAAAACGTCTTGATATCATAACGAGGGTCCATGTTCCCTAAAAAAAAGCAAACACGTTTGTTCAAGACTAGACTCTAAAATGACCAGAAAAAAAATTCAGTAACAACGCTTCCAACGCAAGCACCGAATAAGATGCGTAAAGTGTAGCAGCAGACATTGTCGCGGCGAGGCAAAAGCTTCAAGTGATGGCGCATGATTTTAGCAATTGCTGCTTCCTGCCTTATTCGAAGAGAAACTACGCGTTGCCAATGCATTTTGACGCTCGAGATTGCAAAGCCTTATCTGCTGGAACAACCGCATATTTTGCAGTCACACCCTCATTTCCCTCATATCAAACATTTTTCAAGCCAACTTCAGAAAATCACCCTCATTCTTTTCAGCACCAGCGCTAAATACATTCTGGGATCAGGAGGACCAGGACTACATTATGCGGAAGAACATGCAACGCAACCAGAGGCAAGTATACATGAACCGATTTCTTATTTACATGGAGTGTTTTCAGAAGACTGCATGCACTACAAGATCGCGATGAAACGGATGACACGCTATTTGAGATTCCAACACGAATGCCAGAAATGGATTTTACACATCCATCAATGGTCGTCAGCTAGATTCTCCCTGTAATGAATTGGTACTGGCTTTTCGATAAAACTTTGTTTGTGAACTGTAAAGAATGTGTTATGCTCGCAAAAAAGATAACTAGTCTTTATTACGATAATTACGCTATGAGGTTATCTGGCCAGGATATGCATCAGGTCGATTCTTTCTCATCAAGAAGTGCATCTTTCGATTCATGTCCTCGTTAAATATCGCAGTAGAAGCTTCTATAGATAGCTGTTTACGCTGCATATATGGCTTCTGATAAAATTGAGTTCGCCGGACGATTTTCAGCAACCCTTCCGAATCAAGCAGCCTGAAATGCATGTTTTTTACAAGCATACTAAAAAGAGTAATCAATATTCCTTCTACTATAACGACGCTCATATCCGAGGTTGTTGCAGAACAAAAGAGAGGGGGATACGATGAGTAAATTGACACTGCCGCAGTGCTACTGACGCAGACATTTCAGTAAACTGTCATCTGCACTACCTGTACCGACACAGATAGGCAAACGAGCTTGTGATGAAAAGATGTTTGGCTCGTCGTGAATGTCCTCGCGGGACATTTCGTTGAACAACCTCTCAGAGAATCGCCAGGGGTAGACGGCCATGCGATTTATAGGCAAGCGGAAACCGGAAAAATAATTCTCCGATTTCTTGGTCCGCCTGCAGACATTTGGGAGAATGTTAGGTATTTCTGGTCGAACGTGTAAGGATTGTTCATTAGTTGCGGCCCAGTGGACGCATTCCCGCCGAATTTCAGCAAGAATATGCAAAAATTTTGAGGGCTGCACGGTCCTTTGTGAAGGACTGCAAGCCCGTAAGTAGCAGAAAGTACCTCAAACTCGTATAATTGAACCATCGATGACACCGCTGCCATAGAGTCTCATTGCTCAGCGTACGCCCGAAACTGCTTAGAAAGAGTCCGAGCGCCTGCTGAAAGTTTGGCCAGCGCTCAGTGTAAGAAACTGTTTGACGAGCGCTTGCAGAAAATTTGTATTGCTGCCCGCTGGCAGAACACGGAAGTACCGCTCGCTGCGGGTTTTGCCACGCCCTAAAATTTTGCTGCCGGCTGCGGAAAAGCACGAGTTTGCGGACCGCCTGCCCCCGGCGATTATCTGAGCTAATGCCCTCTATCTGCTTGAGTACGTGTTGCTTCTTTCAGCCGGTTACGTGTTCCTAGCCTTCAAAGGCAGTGTCCGGCCAAAAACTTGATTTTCAGATTTTGTGCTTATCTGGGCCTATTCGCCATGCTAAATCCGAAAATCCTCACCGGAAAGCGCGAAAACGGCGAAAAAGGGCCCTAACGCTGGACGGAAATCAGCAAGTGGGCGGGGTCTTCCCCAATGTGGATTCACGCCCTAAGCTTCCGGAGCGATCTTCTCGATTCCAATCTCAAGTCATGCATTCGCACTTGGCCTGTGGAGATCTTAGAGTGCTAGCGGAATTGGGAAGATCGCTCCAGAAGCTGGGACCGCGGAATTCACAGTGGGGAAGACCCCGCCCACTTCTGATTCCCTCCCACGTTAGAGCCCTTTTCCGCCGTTTTCGTGCTTTCCAATGTGTATTTTCGGATTCAGCATAGTGAGAAGGCCCAGGTAAGCACAAAATCTCAAAATCGACTTTTTTCCCTGACACTGCCTTTAACAAGCCTTTGAAAGCAGTTATGGTCTTTTCAGGGGGAGTGGTGAAAGCGCGGCAATTTTGGTTTAGATTGGGAAAGCTTTGGCGACGTTGCCTATACTCGTCCTCGCTTCCGCAGCCTCGACCAGCAGTGCTGCTATTCGATTCTCTGCTTAGAATATTCTTAATGCTTCTCTGCCTTGTTTCGCAAGCTCAAACGTCAGTCGGTAAATGCTTGTGCTTATGTTTGTCTATGTAGGCCCATAAACTTCAGAGTTCGATGGAAAAACTTCTTCTTCTTCTTGTTAGACTCTCAGTTTCCAAGCATAATCGCGCAGATGCTGGACAACCGTCCTATTCCTCGTCAAGGTTCAATCACGCTATCTTGCCAAAGTCGGTCGAGGGAAACAGATCGCTTCAATAGTCGCTGGATGGTGTTTCCTGAGACGGCTCTTTCTCAACTACTCAGATAATCGCCGGGGCAGGCGGTCCGCAAACTCGCGCTTTTTTGCAAGCGGTCAGCAAAATTTTGGCCTGGCCAAACCCTCAGCGGGCGGCAATTCCTTTACTGTCTAATGTTCCGCCAGCGGGCAGCAATATAAAATTTTCCGCAAACGCTCGTCGAATAACCTCTTTCAGCAAGCGTGGGCCAAACTTTCAGCGGACGCTCAAACTCTTTTTACGCGGTTTCGGCGTACGCCGAACAAAGGTAACACTCTACATAACCGAGGTGTCATCAATGGTTCAATAACCAGAGTTGGGGTACTTTCTCTCAGCGGAAGGTACCCACGGGCTGTGCGGTCCTTCACAAAAGACCGTGCAGTCCCCACCAATTTTGCATATTCTCGCGGAAGATCCGGTGGTCTAAGGTGGTGGGGGGGGGGGTCGTAAGAGGAGGTAGTTAGGCTAAAATACCCTAGGCTTTGAAGGGAACTAAAAAGCAGACAAATACCCTATTTTCCAGAGTATAAGGCGCATTTTTGTGCACCGCGCGCGAGCAGTTTTGCGACGATGCGGGCGATGTGCCATGCCGCAAAAGTAGCGGCACCAACTGTTCGTAACTGTTTTATGCATTCGTCTTCTGTTTACTTCTGTGAACATGAGTTTTCAGAAAAATCAGTCTGCTCTATCATTAATTCATCATAATCGGCTAAACAAAATTTTTACTCTAGAACACCCGTACTGTTATCATTTAAAGCTTACCCAAAATCTGTCACTGAGTTCGTTTACGTCTGCATAGTCAAAATGTCGCTGAAATTTTCCGAAACTTGAAAGCACTGACATCCTGACTATGAAGCGCCCATTTAGCAAACTCCAGGTAAAGTATAGTTAAGTAGACCGTTTAAGTATAGCTTAATCTAAGCCAAACTTAGGGGGCAACTTTCGCGTTGACGTTCGCGCGGCAGGTGCGCCCTGTACATAGGTGAGCCTTATACTCCGGAAATTAGGGTAGTTATGTTCTTTGCAATAAATCTATAAAAAAGCGGAAACCGGAATAAAAAAGATAAAAAATCTGTAGAAATTCTCAAAAAAAACATTTACAAGAGCTCAAAACACTTTTGAAGCATGTATTATTTGATGAAAATGCTAAATGTACCGAATGCCCTAGAAATCTTGCTTCTGAAGCCTTCCTGAAGTCTCACACACGCGACAAAAGCGAATGTCTTTACCAGCTGTGACCATCATAAAATTCTAAACTTTTTGTAATGTTTTTTACGGGCTCATATGATTTATCTGTACTTTTGAGATGCTTCGCTATATCAGTGCAAAATTTGGTTTATTTTGTCAACTGTGGATTTTCTTATGATTTTATGTATGGTAGCAAAAAGACAGGAAAAGGGGGTCGTATCTGGGTCGCATCTAAATTTCTTCGGAGCTATTGAAGCTTGTTCGCTGCAATTCTGCTGTAATATGAGGCCATCCTCCTACTTTTCCTCATAAAAATTGCAGGCTGTTTTATAACTTCTCTGGTAAGTTACAAAATTTTAAGCTCAAAAATCCCAGATTTTGCTTTTTAGGATCGCATCTAAATTTGCGAGAGTCGCATCTAAATTTTTTCGAGCTTACTATTCCTCAAGAGCTGAAACTTTTTCTTTGGATATTCTGTGCACTATACTACAGAACCTGTGCTTTGCATCCTCTCAGTCTTTTCCTGGCCTTAGTTACGAATTTTCAAACTACCGTGCTCATGCACGTTTTTGACGTCGTTCTGGACGGCGCTCAAGCGGTTTTTTCGCGGGAAAAACTGTGGAAAAGGTAAGAAGTAAGCTTCTTAGTCGAAAACATCTTTTGTAGTTCAAAAATGTTATTTTTTTTCTCCGTGCAAAAATTTGTGTCGCCTACGGGAATCGAATTCGCTGCCCTGAAGTATTCTTGAAAATTCAAAAGTAAAGTTGCAGAATCTCAAACATTATTGAAGGTGTGTATATGTGCTAGAGATGCTGGGCGGACCATTGGCCTAGAAATTCTGCTTCCGAAACCTCACTGAAGTTCTCACGCAGGTGTTTTTTGAAATTGACATTCGTTTGTGCAGGTTACCGCGAGAAATGTGGGCAGGGGAGGTAAGGGGGATAGATGGGGGAGGGGGAGGGAGGGGGTAGGGGGGGGGGTCGTACGGATGTGTACCTTCAAGGGGGAGGGGGTCGTAAATGAGGGTCCAGGATCGCATCAACACGCTTGACCCTCGTTGCGACGTTTTCAATTGCTACCAAAACGTAATGAGGCCCCCTCTTTTTGAGTAATGTTGGAGGGATGCGTTGCTCAATCGATTGGTGGTAAAACTCAATGTTATAAGTAGACACCCCTCGCCAATTAAAAGGTGTGGTAACACCTTTCAATTGGTGAGGTGGTTGGCTTTTGAGCTAACCTTTGATTCAACTGGCTTGGCACCATTAGAGCGGGGTTTTGTGATCTAGTTGAGGCCGCTCGCGCCCGCGACGCACCTGCGTCTCTTTCGCGCGAGTGCTCTCTGATCATTACCTAGCCTTAATTAGGTCACGAAGCCCCGCCTTTGCCGATGCCAAGCCAGTTGAACCAAATGGTAACTGCGATGCACATGCGACTAGAGAGGCGAGGCAGCGCGGATACTGGCTTTTTGAACCTTTCACGCAACGGCAGCAGATTTTTTGGAGAAGTCGCCTAATTCGCGGCACTTACGGTCGGGATTGGGATGGAGTAGCGTACGCACACGTGCAAAGAATGAGTAGGGCCAGACTGCGCTGGGAAAGCAGCGTTCGCGGCGTACGCAGCGTACCGCTCGGTATGTTTCATCATGAGCGTACATAGCGTACGCCGCTCTCCAAGCGAAGTCTGGCACAACCCTGCGAGACGAACGTTGCATATGTGTACGACCTGCATCTGACCCAACCCTACAGCTTCGTCAGACATGTGGGAGTTTTAACGGAAAAGTAAGCGAAATTTTATCAACGTTTGACTTATTTTATAATTAGCTAGCACACTGCCCGTGTTAATATACTTTGATAAAGGACACAATTCTTATTTCTAAACAACATAGTCCTGTCGCTGTCCCACTTCTGTACCCCAGTCTTGCCCCAACTATGTCTTCGTTATCAGCATGCTACTCAAACTCCTCCCAGCTCCGTGGCTCAAAATTTTCGAAAAATCGATAAAATCGATACCGACTGATAACAAAAGGTAGCCTGCACGCTCGCCCAGGCCTAAAGGATATGTGTGCAAAGCTTGGTCCAGATTAACTTAAAATTGAAATTTTGGAAACAACGAGGCGAAGTCATGTCTTCCTATAAAGTTGTTTAACCAGTCTTGTACTAGTGATACGGACGGATGGGTACCTTCAAGGGGGGGGGGGGGTCGTAAATGAGGGTCTCGGATCGCATCAGCACGCTTGACCCTGATTGGAGCCTATGTAATGAAAAGAGTCAGTTGAGATTGGTCCACATTTCGATATTCGTAGACGTCTTATTCGGCTTGCTAATTGTTCAAGGGAATCGATGTTCATAACCGAACTCATATTAACAAGAACTCTCACATCGCCGACTCCTCTAACCGTCGCAAGTTCTTATGCATTTTTTCTTTGATACATGGCGTTCAGCGGGTGATGTCCTGTCTTAGCCAGTCCGATGACGTAGCTTGATCTCCCTTGCCTGCATCACCAGATCTCCTGAATGCGTCCGATGCAAGCATCCCATTATAGGGAATAGATCGTCATCATTGTCCGTCTCGTTTTTGGCAGCCTAGGGTTGAGCCAGAGTGCGCGGCGTACGGGCGTACGTGACGTACGCAGCGTACGCTCGGTATATTTCATCATAGGAGCGTACGCCGCGCAGGCTGGCTCAACCCCGAGATGACCCTTTAAACCACGTCTCCACAGGTGCTGCTTTACCACTTTCTCTTCTAAAATCCTTTCCATGTAATTACCATGTTTAATGACTAGATTACTCGCAGAATATAGCATGTTGGGCTCGCACCTCCACTACTACCACTACCACCTTCAAACCATTGACTGGATATCTACGAGTGAGAGTTTTGGCTAAAAAACGTTGTAAAAATGTCCCGAGTTAAGAAAAGAGCCAAACCTATTCAAGAGACTGAATGCTGAATCTACATCGTTATTCTTCACCATTACAGTCCTGGTAGCAAATCGTGGATGAGCGTTCCATATGCCTAAACACTACGATAAATGAGGCTATAGCAAAGGCAAGAGTTATCACACCTCTAAAAAGCTTGACAGCAAATGGTTGCGTCAAAGTACCACGCCATCTACGAACCATTTGAAGCTAATATCTGGAACATGCGAAACCATGCCAAACATCAAGGAGATAAGTTGTGTAGCTGATTCGTTGGTCGCACGGACTGAGCATCACTGGAGCACGCGCCCGTACTCAGACAATCGCCGGGGGCACGCGGTCCGCAAAGTTGCGTTTTTCTGCAGGAGGTCAGCAGAATTTTGGGGCGTGGCCAAACCTTCAGCGGGCGGCACTTCCTTTACTGTCTAATGTTCTGCCAGCGGGCAGCAACACAAAATTTTCTGCAAGCGCTCGTCAAATAATCTCTTTCAGCGAGCGCTGGTCAAATTTTCAGCTGGCGCTCGGACGGTTTTCAAGCAGTTTCGGGTGTACGCCGAGCAAAGGTGAGACTCTACATGGCAGAGGTGTCATCGATGGTTTGATAACTCAAGTTTGAGGTACTTTCTCTCAGCGGAAAGTACCTGGGTGCTGCGCGGTTCTCCACAAAGGACTCTCGCGGAAAGTTTGCGAGAATGAAAGGAAACCGAGAATGTAAGGAAACCGCAATTGTTCTACAAGCAGTTGTCCAAAATTTCGCTAAAATTCCTCCAAATATCTGCAAGCGGACCGCAGAAATCAGCGAACTATTTTTCCGGTGCCCGCTTGCCCGCGGCGAATCTGAGTAGGTAAAACGAGGTAAAACGCGGATGTGGTGCGGAAAGCGACAATTCCCAAATTTTGTGCCTTCCAAAACTCTTCAGTGCTAAAGTGACACGGCGCCAAGGTAGGAGGGGGGGGGGGGGGGGGTTGAGGGCAGATACATGACTCGATACCATAAGTAAGATCCTGTAAAAGATAGTAAGAGCGATTTTACACTGCTTGCATTTTGCTCGCATTGTCGCCTCCCGCGTGCCCCCCCCCCCCCCGTAAAACGCCCTCCAGTTCAAATTTGCCATTGTACAAGTCATGCTCTCGCGACAACTCAGCCGCGTCGCGCCGGGTCCGCAGCCTTTGAGCAGTACGTGCGGTCAGCGAATCGACGATACGAACATCTTCGACTAACACGGTTTGCGAATAGCATCCGTGAATGACACACAAAAAGGTTTCCTTCCTCAGCGTTCCTATTCAAAGACAGCTTGGCTGAGTTAGTGGTTATTACATAGAGTGAATATAGACGGCTACTATTAGCGCAAATTCAGGAAATTAAAACCTGTACGGCAATTTTAGCCCAAAATTTGCAGGCTGGACAACTTTTAGCGCAAAAATCGCCATCCCAGGGAGCACTGAATTCATCGATGCGATATTATGCTTGGCAGATTCTTAAATGCGTGAGCATCCATCCTAAGGTCCAAGGCATACCTCACGCGATTTCAGTTGCCACGCGATCTGGCAATTTGCCAGATGTTCTCAAATTTAGTACTGGTAGACCCCAAAGGCACAGCACGTATGATTTTTGAATATTGATGAAATGCCCTATCTTCTGTACACTAAGAAAATCCTTACTCCTTACGATGAGTTACATCTATCTATCGGAGTACTGCCAAGTCGCCTCGCGACTGAAATCGCGTGAGGTAATATGTTTTCGGTCTAAGAGTAGGAGGTTCGAGAACTCTCTGCGCTCATGTGCTTTACTTTGATATTGTTGTGCTTCACCTTTTGTAAAGATCTCAGGGTGGGGGAACGAAAGCCGCCAGGTCCAGCCGCCTCCGCGGACTGCTGGTCCTGGAACGACATGCAACAACGCTGCGAAAGGACCAGCTGGTCGCGAAAGGCGGCTGGACCTGGCGGCTTTCGTTCCCCCACCCAAGATCTCACCAGATGAAAGCTCACTAGATGAAGGGACGCGTATCTACTATAGGGGCACTACTGAATTTGACGAGTAAGTGCGCTCTGCGGTGCTCCGCGGTCAACACTTGCACGTGATAAATGCCATTTGCCGATGCAGAAGACTTACGACTTCCGAAGATTGCACACCTTGCTTACGCGCAAATTTGTCATGAGAACAACCCTAAAATCTTGCAGATAAGTCTGCTTTTTGACAAAGAAAATTGATTAAAAAGCACCCTCGCATCGCCAAGAATCTTGCAGTTAAAGGCAGCGTCCAGGCAGATCCGAGCTCGATGACCACGGCCACCTTCCTCGGACAGCCAACCCCTTATGAACGAAATCTCCTCAGCCTTGACGTGTTTTCGCATGACCAACACAGTCGAACTTACAGCGTTTCCCTGTTAATACTTGCTTTCGACAAGGATAACACAGGAGCGCTCGTCCGGGTTTTCCCAAAATAGCCCCAAAAGGTGGTTTTCTGAGAAATTCACGCTTTTAGTGTTCCATATTCGGAATCAGCGCCATGGAAAGGCCTGGATAACATAAAAATATAGAGGTCGAGAGTCTGCCTGGACGCTGCCTTTACGTCCTCCCCTAGATAAGTCCTCTTACAGATAAATCCGGACTTATTCGACAGTCTTTGGACCTATCTGACAAGATTTCAAGGTAGTTATAATGGAAAGAAAACGGACTTATTTGCAGGCGGACTTTATCTGAGCAAAAAAGAGGACTTACGAGAGATTTTAGGGTAACTTTGACTTATAGCGAATCAATGCAAGCAGAGGAGAAATAGTGCATTTGCACAAGGATTACAAAACTGTAACAAAATCCAATATGTTTGCGCAGAAGGTCTACACAGTCCGCCTATTTCAGCCAATGCGAGTCTTGTTCACGAATTAGAGCCGGAATTGTTTTTGCAGGAGACAATATGCATAGAATGATGTGAAAACAGTTCTTAAGTATGGTTGTTATGTATAGGGCATTTGAAAAATCGTGACGATGGCGCAACTGCGCGCGACACGCACGCCACTTCCGGAAATCGCATTTTCCTGGTTTTCAACTCTAGTCGGATGGTTGTTTTGCTTACGTATGATAATCTTTATACAAGGAAGTGACTGAGCTGAACGTTGAGGTGATGCCTTATTGTATAAGCGTTTTATGCTCCTGTGGGCGTAAAGTCCGCAGCAAAATCCATCGTCACGATTTTATAAATGAATTATAGCTTCAAACCCTTGTGAACACCGAAAAGTGCCTACTATTAGTGCATCTTAAAGAACAAAAAATCTCAATGCAATACCACTTTGTTGTTTGATTGCTTTTGAAAGATATAAAACAAAGTTACAAAGTACAGAACATTGTTAATGGCCTTGCGACAACGGCAGCAAATTGAAAACTTTTTATCTTTTTATTTAGTCGAGAGATCAGGGTGGGTGCAGGTAATCACAGAATTGTGCTTTCACGCCTCAAATTCGATTGGATTCGTCTGGAGTTGGCTATTCTGCTTCATCTTTTGCATCTTCTTCTAGTCATGACTCAGCCGAATCATAAACCAGTAAGCAAACATAAGAGGTATGTCGTTTAGCTTTCTTGATTTACGCAAATTGTATTTTTTCTGATGTACCTTCATTTATCTCACCTCAATCTTCATTTAGTCGCGGACCCGACTTTATATGTAAGCCCCGCTATCGGAATACACTTCCAGATGTGCCATTTCCTGGAAAATTCCTGCCATGCCCTTTCGTAGAGCTAGAACGGTGGGCTGCTTTTCTCGAAGTTATATGCAAAACGTTTTTTTTTCATTTTCACTATTCGTCTTTCATATCCGGTCATTTTTCATTCTAGAGTTTCAACGGTATCTTTCTTTTAGTTTTATCGACTACAAGCCTACATCACTAGAAATGGAGTACAAATATGAGGTTCAGTGTGAAATGGATATCGGGTTGAACTTAGACTTAATCGATCCAAACACATATAAAGTGGACTCGCATGCTGAAATACAGGTGGGGAAATTTTTCATTGTTTTATGAGTTTTCCAACTTTCAATATCTCATTCTCAAAATTTCAATTCATAGCTGTGAATTTCCCATTTGCGAAAAGTTAAATCGTTTTTAGCTGAACGAGAAGGATGCTATCTTGCTCGAAGACGAGGATTCTAATTCAAAACAAATAAAAAGGCAAGTACTACTTTATTTATCTCTGCGATTTCTTCAAACTTTCATATTCCGGCTCATTTCTACTGTTCATCGCAAAGACTTCTGGGTAAAAGAATTATTTTTCCGCTAGACGGTATGTAAATCTTATTCAGGTCCGCTCAGCATTCCAAAGTTGTGCCATGGATGCGAAAGACGCAGTATATATCTTCTGAATTCAATCGTTTTGGAGTAGCTGCCGATAGGTACGTTCTGGTTATCGTCAATTTCCCACTCACTTTCAAAATAAAATATCTAGGCAAGAAATCAAGGTTGGCTATCACCTTACCAAGAACAAGGAGAATCTGAATATTTTCCGTGACCGCCAAAGTCAAATCGACTCTATTAAGAAATCTTTCGAAGACGTAAGCGCTGTACTTTTCGTTTGTTTTGCTTCTATTTTCATGCTTTCATTATTATTATTGTTTTGCTGCGATTATAGTGCAAAGTTCCAATTCGCAAACACTTTGACAAAAAAGGTGTCACAGCCATCGAAGAGGTGCCTATACTGCCAGATTTTGAGGTTGTTTTTTTTATGTTTCCAAAGCTCTTAGGTCATTTTTTAGTACTTGTATTTTAGCTGTGGAAGTATCCCTTTGCACTGGTTCAGTTCGATGCTGATCCTGCTCCTGCTGGTTATTCCGCTGATTTATGTGAAAGCATGGTTACTCAAAGTCACATCAAGTTAGCAAGTCTTGGCAGTGACGCTGCATGGTTAAAAACGGTGTTATTTAGGGGTATGCAAGATGACGATGGGGAGCAGTTCGTAGCCTACTTTGTGCCTACGGTGGAGACTCTGCAGAAAAAATTGACAGACAAAGAGGAGGGCAAAAACTTCACCGAGGGAGCAGTGTAAGTTCCGTTTTTCTAGATTCTAAACATTCTTTTGTTTACGTTTTCATCTTATCGAAGCTAATTTCTCAATAGAGTTTTATGAATACTCCTGTGATACCTAGCCTTTGGTTGAAGCCATCTGCTGCTGTTGATTATAACCTGGACTTTTGATCACTGTTCTATACGTAATGTTATCTTTCGATGTAACAAGGTCTAGTTATGAACGTATTTTGAGTAGAATCAGAAACGTTTTATCAAGCAGTGTGACTGTTCAATATCTAAACTTATAGAGCAGTTGCACTATTTAGATGACTCTTTGACGTAATCATCCTTTCTGTAAAGCCTTTGTTTGAGTTAATTAGAGCTGTTGCAGTTACGAGCATGTCTTGAATCGGGAATATACATGGACCGTGAAAAATAAAAATACAAAGGGATTCGAAAGAGATAACTACTTCATCTACTACAAAGACGGCGGTTTCCATTACAACGAACTCGAAACCAAAGTGCGTCTTGCTAGACGGCGGCGTGCTGGCCATGAAAAGGTAAGGATCAACGGTTTTTTCTGTATTATTTGTAAATCTGTTTGTATGTATTTCTCTCACCCTTTTCTGTTTGATAACTTTTTGCACCATACTTTGTTGATCAAAGTCTGTATTTTTCGATTCATAAGTAATTTTTCTTAATCGAATAGAGAGATCTCGTTTTTTTAGCCAAATACGCAATTACATGTTACGTACACTGAACCAACGGAAGCTGAAATACAAACAATGACTAACAGAATGAATTCATTATTGAAAAGCTACGATTCGGATGACGAGGATGGTAAGTGACCTAGTAAATTAGACGTTTAATCACCTGCTGCTTCCAGATAAAAAGTCTGAAAAGTCTGCAAGTCATGAGGGCTCGCCTAAGGAAAAGGCAGACGAATCGAATAGTGAAAAGGTGAGGTCACCAAATGTCTTACATTCTATTCTGTTTTGAACTTAACTAATAATTCACTCTATTGTATCGTTGAGTTTTCATTTGGGCTAGTCTTTACAATGCTCTCCACTTTTTACGTGTCTTATAAAACTCTCATATCTTCCTGATTCTCTATCTTTAACGAATTATGTGATTTTACATACAGGAAGGAAGTACCGATAACGAAAAGGACGGCGGTAGTGACGATGACGACAGCGATGATGACAAAAAGAAAAGTGAAAGCGAAAAAGGCAGCTCGGAGGAAAGCGATTAAGGGTGTGTTTCTATCTTGCATATTTTCATTTCTTTGGCAAGAAATTGGAACAAAAATTCATCTGAATATGTTGACGCAAATTTGTGTTGTTCTCTATACTTCCTATCTTGCTATCGGTTTCTGCGGAAGTATCATAGTTGAGGTCGGAATGCTCTTATCTTTGTACACTGTTTCGGGAGCCACATTTGTGGGATTCTGAACAATAGTGTTTGATTAATGCAGTCGTAGCATCTGAAGTTCTTACTTTCGCTAGCACAACTACGAGTTTATCTTCTTTTGCTGGCGCTGCACTGCGGATTATTGCAACATCTGCTGATTTTCCTGGCTCAATGTTTGTGAAAACTGGGTCGATCCTGAAAACCTTCCTATTTTCTCTATTTGTGTGTATCATGCTTCACCTGAAGATGGTATTGTCGGAGCATTTGATTTTCATAGCCAGCCTCTCATTTGAAGTATTTGTGACGGTGACGGTCTAAAAGCCTTTCTGGAAATTGGATTGTTGCTGGTCGTATTACCTGTCTGCCGCCCTTATCATCCCATTCGCAATGCATCGCACTTAGTATAGCTACTTCCTCTAAATTCTACTTGACATTTCTAGTTATTACAAGTCGAAAATGGTATTTCGTCACCTTGACCAATCTTAGCTGGTGTTCCTGAAATCTGTCAGATGGGATCAGAAAGCTATCTTTATGTATTTACCTGGTGGTTTTATCGGTGGTTCTTGCTCTCGCACACCTGTATGAGACTTCTAGTTCGGAAGTTAGAAATAATTTCCCACCTGTTTTATCCTCCTTTGAAGCTGCAAGAATACGTCTTATTTTGCAGAATCGCAAAGAGTTGTACGAAACTAACCCGGTGGTTTTTCTTCTACTTTTTGTTCTTTCTCTGTAATAGTCAATAACTTGTTTAGTGGTTCTCTCAGTTCTGAAGTAATATGGTGTGGAAGCTGACCTGATGGCTTCCCTTCCTGTGGTTTTTCTTCTACCTTTTGTTCTATAACAGAGAATTTGATTTTCAAATATTTTGTCGTGATTTTGTAGCCACAGTTATTGAATCTCCCTCAAGATTCGTAATAAATGTGCGATTGATACTGCCCCCGGGAGGTAACATACACACATAGAACGCATGCAACTCTAAGCTCCGCCCGCTGTTGGTTCCAGGACCTGTATCGAAAAATCCCACTCTTTTTTACCACCAAAAGAGCGGAGGCGAGCATATATTTCAGCTGTAAATCGAGAATGTGCCGTCATAACTGCCAATGTTAGATTCTTCCGAAAAGTGAAAGAGAAATTTGTCACAGTTTTTTTTTGACGTATTGAAAGAGAAATTTGTCACAGTTTTTTTTTTTGACGTATAGCAACGTGTTCCTCATCTTTTGGTTCCTTTCCTGTCTGTCGTATTATCGTTGTTATTGTTTTTATGGTCTTATCTTCATACACTTTCTCAGCAGGATTATCAGTTGTGTTCTGAAAAATAATTTTTCGACCAAGTTTCAACAATCTGGTCGGATCGCAACATTTGTTTCTCACTTTCGTTAGAACGACCACTATTCTGTCGTTCTTTACTGGTCCAGCGCTGCGATAGATACCAAGATCTACTGATTTTCCAGGTTCAATGTTTGTATAGACTGGTCGAACTCTGCAACAAAGCAATTTTTCTCCGTTTTTCTTTGTGAATTTGCTTACCTGAAGAGGTTATTATCGGATGATTTGATTTTCATAGCCAATTTTGTATCTGTTTTATTAGTGATAGCAACACTCTAAAAATAAAACCTGCTATTATTCGCTTTTTTGCTCAAATATAGCTTATTATTTCTTACCGCTTCACCGCCTTTCTCAGACCATTCACACTGCATCTTATTAAAGGCCGCAAGCACTTCTGGATATTGTCACAATCTATTTTCTATGCGAATTAAAAATTTGATTTACCTTCACCATCTTTAGCATAACCTGCTTCTGGAAGTTCCTCTTTTTGTCCAAGCATGCTGATAATAAGGAACTTCGGTTTCTTTTTTGAGCCTTCTGTATTGTTATTTAGTTATCTGGGAGCATTTACTACCCCAATCATAACGAGGTTATGGTTATTTGTCAGGAATTAATTGAGCTCAACGACTAGAGGCTAGTCGATGAAAAGGAAAGACAGCATACAAATTCAGTTCATCCGCCTCGCTATTATTCGAGTCGATTTGACCAACAAAGGCGATAATTCACTTGGTTCACTCTATCCATATCGTTATTGCTCAGTTCACCAGTCGAAGAGTGAAATGGGTCAAGTGCATCATCGCCCTCACTACTAGTCAAATCGCTTATTCGGCCAATAGCGACGTGGAGAAGTATGATACGCGCCTTTTTTCATCTGTATCGTGTATCACTATTATTCATTAAGTATTGTTCTGTATATCAGCACATGACTTATTGTTAGATCTCAGAGCAGTTCAAATGCCCTGATTGCTGAGAGATTCCCCTTCCTACAGAATTCTACCGACCTGCCTCTTCTTTAGATGGCTCTTGTGTCTGCTCTTGCGGTAACTCAATTGCATCCTCGTCTTTTTTAGCCTATATAAATTCGAGATGATCAGCTTTTACATTTTTGAATCCTCACTTCTTCAACTTCTTCTTGTGTCCTGTCAGTCCTAATTTGTTTCTCAGCAAACACTGGCTTCTGAATGGAGTATACTGTTGATGTGATCCTTCATCAAAATGCTCACCTCCTCTTTTTGGTCGATCTTTTCTTTACTCTTCTTTTTCTGAATAGTTTTTGATCAAATTTTTTCGCAGTTGCAGAAGATTGTGTTATGTGTCTGACTTACAGCTTTTTCTTTACTTCCTCTCTCTTTGCTTCCTCTTTCCTTGCTACCAACCTTCTCTTTGCTCTTTCCTTTTTTCTTTTTTATTTTATTATCATTCGTTTTGCTTGCCTAAAATGTCAAATGTTGCCGAAGCCTAGTCGACGCCTCATGAAGTATCTTCCAAGAATTTTTTTACTGTTTCACCTAGAGGTTACCTACATAACTTAGGACGTTTTTTGTAACCTTAGAGCTTGGCTACACAAGAATTTGAGAATTCCCTAGATTTCTGGACAGTAGCGCCAAATGTCAAGTCCACTATATCTCGAAACGCAGTGTTAATTCAAGGCTGCAGAAGACAATTCCTATAGCTCCAGTCTCTATCTTCTTTATATACGCTGTATGAAATCTTCGCGCTGCGAACCGACGCTTGTTTTTGGAGAAGGTGATGAGTAAGTATCACGACAATCGCCGAAAATGCTACTTACCATAGCGCCAGGCTTCTTCCCCGTTTTCTTACAGCATCTTATCGGATGTAATATTAACAAGTATAAAAGTAGTAAGAGCTGCACAAAGAACACGATCATTTTCCGGAGTAGGGCTCTCGATGAGTCTGCAAGATGTGTAAGATATGGTATTTGCGTAGCTGCAACCATGTACGACGAACCCGCACCGACCCAAAATAGAAAATGATCATGACCACATGAGGTTATCGTTTGCTATTTGTGGGGTTCAGATCGTATAAACAAACTCTGTTCTCCTAGGGAGTTCCTTTTTGAACTGCTTTTTGCGGTGTGCTACTATGCAATGGGTATTATTTGCTCGACACTTATCAATCCTTTTGTAGGAGAATTATCAAGCTGGGGAAATAAAGAATGTTGTTTTCGAGTTTTTCGGCTAAAGGTGACAGACATTTCTGGGTTACATGTATAAAATTGAAGTTTTGCTTGAAGTTTCGAAAGGTTGTAGTATAGGGCATTTGGAAAAACGTGACGATGGCGCGACCGGGCGCGACACGCACGCACCTCCCGACAACCGCATTTCTTTGGTTTTCATCTCTGTTCGAATAGGTTTTCTGCTTACGTATGATAGTATCTACACGTTGGATGTAACTAAGCTGAGCGTTGAGGTGTTGCCTTTTTGTGTGAGCGTTTTATGCTCAGGCGCAAAGACCGCAGTCAAATCGGTCGTCACGATTTTATAAATGAACTATAGACGACTGCTTACATAAAGGGAACTTAGGCTAGGGGCGAAGCTTGCCATTTCCGTTTCTTAAACTTTTGATTTTTAATCACGAAAGGTCATATCAATTTTATATATGGATGAATGCTTGTGTTTGCTACACGCACAAGCAAGCCAGAAATTTTTAGGAGTTTTTGGCAAAGATCGATTTTTAGCGTCACGAAATGTTAACGGATTTTGCCTTTAATCTTTGCGTGAATCATAAATTATGCTAATGTTAAAAATGTACTAAAGCGTTTGCTCGAATGGTACCCATCACACAACTTTTTGGGTTCTTCTTGGTATTTTGCCATAGAAAGCGACATTTTGTTCTTTTCTATCTAGTAAAAATGTTTTGAAAGAGTGGTATGGATTGGATTATGGAGCAATCTATCAATCGAGTTTTCAGAATTTCCATTTTTCGTGGAACTGTGGAGCAGGACGACAAGTGTACAGTGGCCAACTTGCAGATGTGATTTCTCTCCCTTGATGTTCTGGATGTTGAATAATTCACATGAACTCTTTCATTCCATTATTGAAATTTGTGGCATCAATAAAAACGTACCTCGTGTTGTTATTTTATTTGTCAGCGTACATCGCCTAATATCTACAGCTTACTTGGTTTCTCCTATTTTCTGCTTTCTATGTAATATTTAGCTTGTAAATGACGGAAACTAGCAACACTGAACCTGAAGAGGATTCGGATAGTCGACATGCGGATTTTCCTCGTGCACAATCCCATACCACCCTAGACTCGCATCGAACCTTGTGGATGGGCGATCTTCAGCCACAGTGGGATGCTCAGTTCATAACCAATGCCTTCAAGGTCAGTGAATCTCTGCATTCTCATCGGTGGTGAGAAACGTTTTTTAGGAGCTTGGCCACACCCCATCTACGGTCAAAATGGTAGCTGACCGGCAGACGGGAGCGGTAAGTGCAGATTTTCAATCAAAGTTAAATAAGATTTCATGATTTTTTGTATTTTTTCCTGAGTTTTAGAATTGCGCCTACTGCTTTGTCGAATTTGCATCGTCAGACGATGCTCGTGATGCTATGCTCACGGCAAATGGGCATAGAATTCCAAATAGTGAACCTAGATCTCGATTCAACCTATCCTTTGCGAACGATCCTCGTGTACCGTGAGTTTTTTCTGATCAGTTGAAAAATTGTTTTTTCTCTATTGCGAGGTGGCTGATCCAGCTGAGTTTAGGTCGATAGAGTTCAACCTCTTTGTAAATAATATACATCCTGATCTCGATGATGCCGCTCTGTACCAGGTGAGTCAATATTTGGAGTATTTGTTATTCATTTGTAACCATAAATTGACGAGTGTCGATTTTGTGATTTGAAATGCAGGTTCTTACTAATGTTCATTTTTTCATACGAAAATTCTCACCTATGTAATTACCCTCCCCCCCCCTTTCTTCCATCAGTTTGTTACAAATAAATTCCAGGTGTTTGGGGCCCGATATCGATCTTGCCGTGGTGCCAAAGTATATCGAAATCGAGACGGGTCGTCGCGGTGTCTCGGCTTCATCCGCTTTGGTGATCAAACTGAACAACAAATGGCACTTGTGAGTTTCCAGTGGTTTTTACCCTTTTGCGCACATATCGATTGTATAGGTGGAAATGAACAAAACTGTGGTACGAGGTCGTGAGATTATCCTGAAACTCGCCGCTGCCAAACAACGACTTCCACGACATCAAATAAGGGAAGGCATGCAACCTCAGCTCGTGAGTGCAAAACACTATATATACTTTTTCATGGATGTATTTTTATGTTTTCCTTTTTAGTTTTTTTTAAATTTTTTGTAATTTTATTTTTGTATTTTTTTCATGTTACTCATTTTGGTTTTTGATAGCAGATAGCAGACCCATCAATAGCTTCCTACAATCAAATGGCGTATCAGCAAATGCCACAGCAACCAAGTCCTCAAATCGCTTATCAGTATCCCCAACAGCAGCAGCAGCCAACTTACGTTCCCTCTGAACTCATATGTAACGATTTACTCAAGTTCAGTGCTCATCTTCAACGTAAACTACAAAACTTCAGATCCCTACAATCCCACGGCAGAAGAGGCAAATAATGAACTTGTAGCGAATGGAGATGAATGGTGGGAAGTGCTGGAGGAAAGCAGGTAATAATATAGTGTTACAAAATTTGGGCCACATTGATTGCTGTTTCTGTTTAAACTTTGCCTGAAGAGAACAGTCTTTACTTGTGCAATTGACGAGGAGTTGAGCGAGGCGGCTTCAGTTTCGCAGCCCCTTTCACTATAAATTATCCTCGCATATATGGCTCAGTAGTGAAGATTTTGAAGCCATCTACAGAGGAAATTATGTGGAACGAAGATATCTCTTTCTTGATTCATGCTTTGCATGGCCACACATTTACAACATGTAGGTTCAAACGTATTTTTGCGCCAAAAATCTTGGAAAGAAGTTTTCAAAGTGTTCAGTAATCGTTCAAATGTCTACATTTTTAACTGGTAAATCTTTGAAAACTATGATTGAGCAGTTTCTTTTGTCGGCTCATATTACAATGGGGAAGACTGCATCCAACTGCGGATTTCCCCTGCGCTAGAGTCTTTTCTCGCCGTTTTCCCGCTTTGAGGTGTGGATTTTCGGATTCAGTATAGCGATTAGGCCAGGGTAAGCACAAAATCTCAAAATCGACTTTTTGCCCTGACACTGCCTTTGAAGGCAGATTTTATCTTCCAGTTTTTCACCTTTTCGGAGCTTTTTCACTGCGAGGAATCTATATCTAGGCTTTTCAGCGCATGAAAATGGCGAAAATGGGCTTCTTCCAAAAATTCTCAGGGCCGCAATCAGTGGAGAATAAGTGCAAATGGGCGGGGCTCGGAACGGAAGGCGGGGCGCGAAAGACTTCCGGTGTATCTTCACTGAGGGCGGGCCTGGAAACCTTCGAAAAAAGGTCTTCGCCATTTTCATGTGTTGAAAAGTCTAGACATGCCCCGTGAGGAAAAGGCTCCGAAAAGGTGGAAAACTGGAAACGAAATTCTGCCGAGACACTGCCTTTAAGGTAACTTTCTAGCAAATATTTTTCATTGCAGGTGGTCAGCCTGCATCGTCGATCCGGCTTGGAAAGAACGAGAGTTATGCTTGCGGTTGAACGATAATAAATGGTGAATGTTTTGTTGTTGTTTTCTTTTTTTATAACGAGAGATACCTTGTTCATAGAAAATTGATAACGAAGATCAAAGAAGAATTGTTTTTACAGTTTGGCGATTTTTTCTTCTGTTGTTTTGTAAATAAGAGGGCATTGTTGAATCTTTTCTTTTGCTTATAATAAATGATCATAGTTTGGGTGTTTTTCGTGTCTTTTAACATTTCATGCACAAAAACTTTATTCAACTACTTTGGGACCATTGGCACGGTCGCACACGCAGGTACAAGCTCCTTATCTTCATATGCCTTCTCCGCTTCGGTACCGTCGAACTGAAATTTTGTCAATAGACAGGAGAAGCACAGGACATGGACTTAGCATACCGGAGTTGTTAGTATCAGCAGTTTCTCGGCTTTTAGTTCTCCGGCCTTGCGAGTCACAACTATCTCAAGATCTTTTCCTGCATCAATCATTGCGAATACAGGATTCACTCTGAAAAGAATCTCAAGCGTAATCTGCACGTAAAATGGCAGCATTTTCGAGAGTGAAAATTTAAGTTGTTTCTTTTGATGTATTTATATACTGTGAGTATATCACTTACTTGAATAAAGCGTTGTTGGAACATTTGATCTTGAGCGCTTGCTTCTTATCATTTTCGTTTGTCACTTTCAGAACCTTTGAGCTCACGTTCCTTTAAAACTACCACAAAGAGTGCTAAAATTGTTACCTGCTGTGACTCTGCATCCTCCCATGCTAGACTACTCGCGCTCAGTTTGATTTTTTCTGGAAAAAGAATTTTTTCTCAGGATTTTGAGGTTTTACAGTTGTTTTACCATCAGGCTTCCCCCTAGAAGACCTCGAAAGAGCCACTGCTTCCTGCTTTGATTTTTTCTTCTAAAAGTTAGTAAATCAGCGTGGAATTTGGCTAACATTCAAAAGCGCACCTCATCATCAGCGGATGCCATAGTGGGATCCAGTTTGAGCTGAAAAGTCTAGTCAGCTTTTGGATTGTGGATACTTTACACGAAAAATAAAATTTGGGCAAAAGAGTTCATTTGGGCAAAGGAATCATTCCAGTTAGGAAGTGTCAGCATCCATAAGAATTGCGTTGTACCAAACTAACCTCGCCTTCCTTCTTTTCTTCTCCCTCCTTCTTCTCTCCTTCTTTCTTCTCTTCTCCTTCTTTCTTATCCTTCTCTCCACTCTTCTTCTCATCGGGCTTCGATTTCTCCTCTTTTTTTTCTCCCTCCTTCTTCTCTCCCTCCTTCTTTTCTTCCTCCTTTTTCTCTCCTTCCTTCTTCTCTTCTTTCTTTTCACCTTCCTTCTCACCTTCCTTCTTCTCTCCTTCTTTAGGCTTCTCAGGTGGTTTAGGTGGTGCTGGTGCGGCAGGCTTATCCTCCTAAACACTTTGACATACTGGGTAAAAATGTTGACTCACATACTTTCTTGGCTTTTTTGCCGCCTCCACATTGGATGAGCAGGTATATGGAAGATAAGAATTGCAGAATCAAATAGACAAAGAGGTAAATCATCGCGAAATGGCGATTTGTATTTTCTCAATACAGAACCTGCAAGCGAAGAATTGGACGACACTATGTCGTTTGCTGCAGACCTCTGCTAGTAAGGGAACCTCTTGCTTAGATACCGATGACTACCAGCAACCTTCACTGGTGGACTCCGAAATAGAAATGAAGATGACTAGTAGTGTAGTCTTCAAGCGGTTTACCAATGCAGTGATAAACTTTATGCTGTTTTTGTAAATACAATAACCAGCAGGGCTCCTCTTAGTGTAGCCACCGTCTAGAACAGTTAAAAATTTTAAAAGCTCGTCAAGTCTATGTTTCATGAAATACAGCTTTGCAAAATTTCTTATGAAACGATTTCTTTGTCCACACTTTTTATTTCGGAGTGGCGTACCGATCTCTTTTTTGTCATGGTAAATGACGCTCACAATAAGATTCAAAAAGTAGTGTTGAGCCTGATAATATGCTGCAATCAGGACTATATGAGTTTTGATACCGACTCGTGTTTGTCTGGAAGTTATCAATTATCGTCAACTCTCGCACGCAAAGACAGGGCGTCGTTACGGAGCTGTCGGCGTCCGATGATCAAGCGCTATTTCATCCCTCTTACCGTCTGCTGTCTCTCCCAAGCACGCACTATCTTGGTCTGACGTAACAGCCCCAGTCTGTGCGTGCGATGAATCGCCTATAAGTTGTTTGTTCTACACTTCTAGGGCGGTATCTCAGCAGGGTGCAGTTTTTGAATTCAGTAGCAGTCATGAAACAGACTTTTGTGAGGACTTTCGGACCATTTGCATTTTTTTATCTTGCAAAACCGTGTGATTCGGCGCGCGAGCCTCTATTTGGCATGCGCTAGACCACTTCGCCTATCTCATCATGGGACTAAGACAGCAGCTCGCTGTTTTCCATATCACAACCTGCCTAGGCAAGTACAATGAAAAGCAGTACAATGAATTTGTTGTTTATTCTGAGGCTTATGAGACGATCAATCACTCATCCACATCACTTATTCTGTTTCTCAGCACTTGTAAACGACTATTTTGACGCCGTGCCTGCTACTATCCTATTTTGAGGTGTACAAGCCGCAACCTGTTCGCACTAAAGGCGCACATGCCAAAACACCGCCTGTTACGGTGGGGCGCGCTAAGTGAGAGTAATGTGCGAGAAAGCGATCGCGTTGCGAGGCACTTGCGCAGCGGCACGTCTGGGTCTGCTCGCGCTTAGAGCAAAGAGGGTGCGGCTTATACAACTGAAGATAGGGTACATGCTATCTTGTAAAGCAGCTTAAAGCGACCTCCTATATTGCACAACTTTTCACTCTTCCACTGCCTAGTATAGGGGCCTGCAGGATCGCGAGAGTCGAGCGTACGGTCATTGCGCCGCGCACGTCTGATGTCACTAAGGGGATAGGGGAACGAAAGCCGCCAGCTTTGGTCGCCTGCGCGGACTGCTGGTCCTGGAACGACATGCAACAACGTTGCGAAAGGACCAGTTAGCCGCGAAAGGCGGCTCAAACTGGCGGCTTTCGTTCCCCTACCCTCACTAAGGCAGGTGCCAGACTTATCCGCTTCAGCCGGTTCGTTCGCTTCATAGGTCAAATCACTATGATCGGCTTTGCCTGATTACACATGTAAACTTGCTAAACCTCCACGTCATAGCATTGCTTTTCGAATCTCTCGCCAGCAAAAACCGCCACGCGGTGAGTTGGCAAGACTCCACCTCCACGCGAATCTGGGAGCCGATGATACACTGTTCAACAGCAAAGGTGGTGAACCGAATGAACCTGTTCAACAGGATAAGTCTGGCACTTACCTGAGTCGTCGGACGCACATCTGACTTGCGCGGCGCAATGGCCGTACGCACGTCCGACTCTCACGATCTTGCAGGCCCCTATACATACTTCTTCAAAAAAAAAAACTGCAAGCTACGGTGATGCAGGTTAGAGACTTTTGGTGGTAGCCAGTCGAAGCGTTTCTGAGAGTTTGGCTCGTTGTACCCATGACAAACTTACTTCTTGAACCGTTGAGATAATAGGCTCGTACAAGGACTTTGCATCTTGACTTTCACAGAAACTCCCCTAGCTCGGTCTAATTGGGCCTTGGCGCAACATGGCATAGAGGAAAACACACAGTAAAAAACAAAGATTGACGCCACCGATATCGAAGCTTTGGAAGACAGCCCGACTTCAAGGTTGGAGAAAGTCAAAGTGCTATCGAAGGTTATTCATAAGACAACATATGACCTTGTTCTTACTGCGAAAATCCAAGGCTATTGAGGATAGCCTGACCATGCGTCGTACATCACGCAAGTATCCTTTACACTCAGACATTAGGAGCGGCCGAGCCGCGACCTTCATTTGACATGGGCCGCGACTCGGTCGGAGTTTGTTATACAGTTTTTGGTCCGCGGCTCAGCCGCTGCGATGCTCGTCCCATTATTAAGGGCCGCGGCTGAGCCGGAGAGCCCATTTCCTCTCGCGGCCCCCGGTACAATGATAATGACATGGATGAAGTGCCGCGGTTCGGCCGTACCTCGGCCACGCCCCCAAATTAAGGCCGCGGGCGAGCCGGTAAGCTTTTGGGACCGCGGCTCGTCCGCTCCCACTGTCTGAGTAGTCTGTGTTTCGGTTCAGTGGTTGCGGTGGTCTCGCATTACCTCAAACTTGGGTAATTAAACTTTATCTTTGGATCTTTAAATAACATGAACATGAACATGATAACAACAAACTAAACTACACTGAACTACTATACTAAAGGATAAAAGAAAAGAATACTGAATTTGCTCTTGGCTAAGCCACTTTTATATAACAATATATGTTTGGGTATGTGCTTGAAGGAATAGGCGATGACTAAGCTCAAGTGACAAATGCATGTTTTGTCTTCGAAACCAATCAAAAGTATCAACATACGACTTTTATAAGGTGAATAATGTTAAGAAAATGAAAGGCGTTTGCAAATTCAGTATACTCCGCCGCGGAATGTTGTAGTACGGGAATGTCGTCTGCTTCTTGAGGAATGTCATCGCATCCTTGTGTTATAGGAGTTTCTCTTGTGATTTTCTTTCGCATCCTTTCTTGATCAACGAGAATATCGTTCTGATGGTACACATGATAATTCGAAAGGCCGTTTTGATGATTGTGGAGGTTATTCGCAGTATTATCTTCAGTATAAGCGGGATAATTCCATTGAGGACGAACGTATAAGTCAGTAGTAATGCTCCTGCCACGCTGACAATGGTGATGATCAGAGTGCCGCTCCATTCGGAAAAGACACTCCATATGTGATTGAAGTCAGGCATGGAGATTTCAGAAAATACTTCACTGTCTCCATTCAGCAGATGACGGGCGACGGAGTCGATGCTTCCTACGTAGCGAAGGACACCGACTATTTCAACTCCATTGATTTTTTGTCCACATTGGATGGTGCAGTTCCTATGAAACTTAGCCTTTGCTGAAGTAAATCTGAGTTCCGTGTATGTTCCTCCTAAAGAGCATGGGATTGAAAAGGCATCTTCTTCGCAATGCATTTCTGCCAATGCTTCATTTGTTGATGATTTGCATGAGACATTGACTCGTACTCCGCTTTTGCAGTTGTAACATCCAGTAATTATGGTGTCCTCGATTGTGCAGACGTCATTGGAGAAAATTGAAACAGATTGAAAGTTTCCCCATATTCTTATAATGAATTCGGCTGTAGGCAACTGTGGTATACGTGCCTGTATCTGTCCTTGCTGGGTTGCCCGAATTTCCACATTTGGTTGCAAAATGGGTAATGCGTGCTGTAAATTGCGGATATGAGATGAGAGATTCGCTTCTTTGCAGTCACACATCATCTTCGTTTCTGCTGGTAGGCAGTTGCAATCCTCAACTACTTCACAAGACAGGTTGCGGGCTTCTTCTGGAGTTCGGCATCGTAATGGTGGCTCGAAGTCCCTCGGGGCCAATGAATTGCGTTTTCCATCTGTCAAAAAGATTGAGTTTAGAAATGGTGTTGGTGGAATTCCGAGTGAAGATAGCGTGATTGTTAGTGGTTGATAACTCTTCGGGTGGTTGGGTACCAAGCGAAATTCGTGGGTGTTCTGTCCTTTTGAGTGCGTCATCGTCAATTCAAGGTAGACATATTCTTTCCATCGTGAGCATTTGAAAAATTCGTAGATTTCTTGGTTATTCGGTACAAGATAAATTCGGTAGAAAAGGCATCCGGAGCTGGGGTAAAAACAATCGCACCCCACTCCCCCACAGCTTTCCACACACCCGGTAACTCCTGGGTATTCGTTGGCTTGATGGAGTTCAGGTAATTTTGAAGTCCGATTTACCGACCCGCATTTTTGTCCTTTGCAAGAGCCGGCGTGGGCGCATCGTTTACTGTCGAGAACGGCATACTTGGTGCTTCTTGAATAAATGAAAGTGTCCTTTTCGCAGACTAAAGTGAGGTTTTTCCAGCGTAACTTGATTTCGTGGATAGTGGAGCCATTTTTGGAGAGCCGTATGCATGCTTCTTGTTTGAGAGAGTTGATTTTGACCACTTCTGTGGTGTCGATTGTGCAGATTTCACCTTTTGTTGCTCGTTGACATGTGGTGGTGTGATGAGTAAAGAGATCGACGATCTGACATGCCGATGTGCAGCTTATAATTGCAAGAAAAATAGCCGTATCTGACCATAATCTTCTTCTTCGTAGGCGTCTCCTGTTCTTCATGCGATTCGGGATAGTGCAGAGTAGAAACGATAATGTTGTTTTGATTGTTGACCAGATGAGAAGTCCGCATAGACTGATTGCGTACAAAATTGGAGTTGCGAGAATCCTTGGTATGTAGGAGAGGAGGTAACATACTGTAATAATCATGTAGAAAGAAATTCCTGTCATCAATATCGCCTTACGAGGCCAACATTCTGGATTCATCAACGCCGGTATGCAGAATGTGCATGTGATTTGCGTGCAAAAGGGTACAGCTTTACAGATTGTTTCCAGTACGTTGATTTCGTTCCCATCAGAGACCTTCCATCTAACTTTGTAGGCGTGTACAGTGATGTGAGGGGGTAGGCGAATGAGTTCCGAGGGTTCGGGTGAAGGATAAGAAAGGCAGTAATCTTCAGCGCAAATCTCGTATTGATGTTTCATTTCTTGTTTGAGTAAGACTCCTTCGTTTACGCATTGAAGAGAATGTTGTTTGGTGAGATTTGTGAGCTTCGTACTGGCGAATGTGCTAGTGACCAGGCAGGACATCAAAGTTAGGGTGAAGGTCAGGTTTTGGATTGTCTGAGCTGTCTTCTTTTGACGTGTTGTTGGAGGAGCGTCTTGTTCCTTATTGGATTCTTTCATAGCGTAATTGATGGGCTTGCGCTTCCGTAGATTATAGCGCGACGTAGAGGTCTGATTGCTGCTTGGTTGAGGTGAGGCTGTGTCATCGCTTGTCGGTACAGAATTCTCAGGCTGATCCGGTGAGGCAAATTCGCCTACTTCTATGGGCACAACTTTGTTTACCGGTCTTCTGATGTGATGTTTGTTTGGTAACTCAATTACCAATTCTCTTGTATTTGTTGTATTATCAAGTTCGACAATCCGTCCAATTTTCCAAGTATTTCTGGGTTGCATCGAATCCCATAAGAGAACCACTTCTCCCTCTCTGGGAGTTTTGCTTGATCCGCGTTTCTTGTCAATGTGTAATTTGTGCTGTTCTCGCAGGCTTGTGACGTATTGAGTTCTCCATATTTTCCAAAACTTTTCTGTGAGTTGAATGGATGATTTGAGTGCTTTTTCCACTTGATGTTGGGTAGCTAACTGCAAGGTTTCCTCCGGGGTATGGTAGGTGGTATCCGTTTTGTCGTCTCCGATATGTTCAATGGGAAAGTTGAGTACTACATCATTCTGGAGGAAATCTATTGGCCGCAGGATGGGTTGTTGTTCCCATCGTTCTTCTTGATGTGTTAATGGCCGAGTATTTAGCATGGCTTCGATCTCCGTCATGATGGTCCGCATTTCATCGAAAGACACTTTAGTGCGCCCGAGTACTTTATATAACGAGTTCTTGATAGGACGAATTAGTCTTTCATAAAACCCACCCTGCCACGGTGCGTATGGCGTTATGTGAATCCATTCTATCTCTCGTTGTGCTAGTACTCTTTCAACTTCAGTGTTTTCGATTGCTCGCTGAATTGACTCATGAAGGATCTGTTCGCCAAGCAAAAATGTGGGGGCGTTGTCGCAAGTTACTGTTTTTGGAATTCCTCTTCTAGCGAAAAATCGTCGTAGAGCATTGATGAAAGTTCCTGTAGAGAGATCATCAACCAACTCGATATGAACAAGTCTGGTTGTGCGACATGTGAGTATACATCCGTAAGCCTTCGCTTCTTCATTCGTCGTACATGCGATGGATAATGGACCGAAGTAGTCTAGTCCTATGTGTTCGAACGGGCGCGATCTTTGCACTCTCGTCAGTGGTAAATTTCCCATTTGTGGGTAGGGAAAAGGGAGGTTGTTAAATTTTTGGCATTGTAGACATCGTTGTGTGATACTACGCACTTGTTGCCGAAGTTTCGGGATCCAGTATTCCTGGCGCACCATTGCCATGGTGTGAGCTACTCCGCAGTGGTATTGACTGTGTGCTTCTAAGATGATGAGTCGAGAGAGGGCAGTCTTAGAAGCTATGTAGATGGGCCTTTTGGCGGTTTCTGGGATATCCGCGTGTTTCAATCGTCCAAAACATCGAAGAATACCCTTTTCATCAGTGCGAATATTGAGGTCTTTTTGAGAATTGATCTGGTGTTCCGTGACCATATGTTTTTGATGGTCTCGAATTATGCATAGTCGGGCTTCTCTGAGTTCGACTCCGGTGAGTTCGAAAGTAGTTGCTGCAAACTGGATAGCCGGTATATGGTCGTGGACTTCTTCTTTTCTTTCTTGTTGAAAATGTTGAGTTACGCGTCGTAGGAATCTCATGACGTACGCTACCACTCTTTGAGCTTTGAAGAGGGAACTGTATCTAGTTAGGGTGAACAGTGTTTTCTCTTCCACTTCGTTTGCGATTATCGCGTTTAGCTGTACGGGGAGTACTGGATCTTCCTCGTTGATCGTTGATAGTGAGAACAATTCGGATCTCTGCAGTTTTTTCAGTCTATCTGTAAGTTCAGCGCCGCCCCACCACAAGTGGTTTTTGAGTGTGTCTGGCATAAGTCCTCTGGTACCGCAGTCCGCGAGGTTGTCTTGTGTAGAAACATGTCCAAACAGGCAACTGGTTTTCTGTTTCTCTACGTCTTCCACGATATTTTTTAGTTCCTTTAGGCGATTTTTGACTAATACTCCCGCTGTACTTCGTTTGGAATGTGATTTGATCCATCCTAATACGATTTCCGAGTCCGTGAGAAATATGATCTCGTCTATTTGTATGACTGATGCGAGTGAGCTGTAGGCATATCTGGCAACTCTTGCCCCCAACACGACTGCATTCATCTCGGATTTTGGAATGGTGATCGATGTTTTCAACGAGTGCAGTTTCGATTTTGCCATTAGGAGATTGGTCGCCTCATAGTTGTCGAGGTAGATGCATGTTGCTATAGCGCATTGGCTAGCATCTGTGAAGACAATAAGTCTGTAGTTCTTGGAACTGGGTAGAATTTGTCTTTTTATCTCCTTGTAGAACATCGTTATTCCTTCCGTCAAATAGTACCATTGTACACGGAGGTTTTCTGGAAGTGTGTCGTCCCAAGGGTAGTCATCCTTCCACAAAGACTGCAGGAAAACCTTTGCTGGTAGGAGAATCGGTACTAAAAGGCCCATAGGATCGTAAATGGAGGCGAGTTCTTGTGTCACTCTTCTTTTGGTTATGTTTCTCTGGGGTATTATAGTGCTTGCAAGAACGATATCATCTGTATGAGGTCTCCATGAAACGCCAAGTACTCTCGGATATCGGTTCTTCATGCGATCGTCTGGCTTGATACTGGAGTTGAATGTCTCATCATTTGACGTGAATTCCCTCAAGTTCATGTTTAATCCTTCGAATATTCTTTTTGAGATTTGGTACTTGTGTATCGCTTCTTCTGATGATAATGCTCCAAAGAGCAAATTATCTACGTACAGATTCTGACGTATCTCTTCAGTCATCTCGTTCGGGCTTGTTGAATGTTGGAGGTGAAAATCAATAGTTGCTGCCAGAAGAAAAGGTGACGTATTCAGTCCGAATGTGACTCTCGTGAATCTGTAGGTTATTATGTTGTCGGGTGTTGGCGGACGCGCAATATCTCTAACCCACATACATCGAGTAGCATCTCTGTCGGCTTCTTGGAGTCTTACTTGTAAAAAGGCTTTCTCGACGTCCGAAATCACGGCGATGTTGGGAAGACGAAAACGTAGTAAGATGCCCACCATGTCTGGTAAAAGCAATGGACCTTGGTGTAAAACGTCGTTTAAGCATCTAAGCATCGGTGGTTCAGTGGTAGAATGCTCGCCTGCCACGCGGGCGGCCCGGGTTCGATTCCCGGCCGATGCACCAGTTGTTTCGGTTCAGTGGTTGCGGTGGTCTCGCATTACCTCAAACTTGGGTAATTAAACTTTATCTTTGGATCTTTAAATAACATGAACATGAACATGATAACAACAAACTAAACTACACTGAACTACTATACTAAAGGATAAAAGAAAAGAATACTGAATTTGCTCTTGGCTAAGCCACTTTTATATAACAATATATGTTTGGGTATGTGCTTGAAGGAATAGGCGATGACTAAGCTCAAGTGACAAATGCATGTTTTGTCTTCGAAACCAATCAAAAGTATCAACATACGACTTTTATAAGGTGAATAATGTTAAGAAAATGAAAGGCGTTTGCAAATTCAGTATACTCCCACTGTCTGAGTAGTCTGAAAAGACTGTACACATACACTCAACCGCTCCCACGCTACTGACTTCGGTCGATGAAACTTTTGATACGTACTATCAAGATACACAGCACCGCTATAAAAGTTCGAATCGAGCGGGATTGGTTTATTTTCTCAAGTTGCTTTCATGTTCGATGGTTATCTATGTTGGAAGTGCTGATTGTGGGCCAACTTCATATCCATCTCTTCCGCCCAGATATCTTGCTTTGCAGCTTTTGCAGCTGCTTCTCAATCTGCTCGGATGGATCTGCTTTATGAGTCTATGCGCCAGACATAACGAATTGAAAAGCGAGGGAAGAGGGATGCCAAGAGGAGTAAGCGGAAAAATTTATGGTTAAGCCTACAGGATGATGTTTTAGGCAAGCACGCACGACAGTAATGTCAAAAGTAGTGAGAGTGGTTCATCACCAGCATCATATGCAAATGAAAATCAGCAGCATCATTTCAAAAAGACTCTCACTTGGCAAAAAAAGCGTTTTGGCCGAGATGACCCGGAAAAGAAGGTGGATGAGAGGAAGTCCAGCGATGAAAAAACAGAGCCGAAAAGCAGTAGGAGAGAAAAGAAAGAAGAAAAGGAGAAGGATGCTATCAAAGCTGTCAACAAAGTCACTAAAGAAAAAATCAAAACCGGGAAGTTCGGAAAAGCAAATAAAGCGAAAGAATCAGCAGTAAAAACGGATCATACTATAGAGAAGACGCAGATGGTTGAGTTGAAATCTACCACAAGCGGAAGAGTGGACGAAGCGAAAACCCAAATGGAATTGGCACGACCTAGCTCCAGCAGTAAGTGATTGGGAGGTGGTTTGCTGCAAAACGTCATTTTTTGTTCGTTGTTTTAGGATCTACCGATATCAACAAAGATGTAGCAGTACCAGGCGAAACATTGGCGTTATTAGCAGCTGCAGAGCAAATGGGTAGGAAGAACGAGCTCGTAGGCAAGGCCAAAATTTGCATTTTTAGCGGATGACAAAGGCGACTACGACAACTTTGGACCACCTGAAGCTAAATTAGAAAAATAGAAGAGTTGTCTGTGGCTTCTAGAACATAGCGTCATGTAATCGAGATAATGTGTTATATTGTCTACGCTTATTTTGAATAATAAACATTGCTGTGTTAAAAATAGTGTTTATATCTGTATTTTTTGTGGAAGTTCCTTTTCGAAAGAAGTTTAATGAGGGTTGAAAATGTTACTGTTACTGTTCAAGTTTCACAAATGAACGCAGGATAAAGCTGAATTTTTCAAATGAAAGTGAACTGTCTCCAGAAAAGCAGAAAAGTTAAAGTATTAGAAGTGCTGAGCCTTGAAACTCGTTTGCGACTGTGACTTACAAAGGCGTCACGAAGTCGAAAGGGCTGATCACTACAAAGTGCATACCATTAGTGAGGGCTTGAAGCGCTGATTTCAATTTTTTCTAGAAAAAAACTTAGGAATTCCCTAGAAGTTGGAAAATGAATCAAAAATCGGGTAAAATTAATCGCCGCTCTTTAGACCTTAGGAGGCAGCCAAGTTCTATGCACTTCATAAATAAACTCCTCCTGCCTAGTATATCAATACTTCCTATTTTCTCATTTGATGTCTGGAAGAACTGTAAAGATTGATTTCATCTCGGCGTTTAGTTCATTTTGCGACTTTGAAGAATGTTCAGAAATCCTTTTCCAAAAATGCTCCGCAAATATGAAAAGCAGATCTGGAATCACGCACCAGACCCTCACTGATGATGTCTAGTTTATGGTGATCGGCCACTTCGAGTTCGTGACACTAACATGCTAGATATAATTCAGAAAATTTTTTTGCTTGAAGGGTGCTGTGTTTGGTGCAGAGGCAGTCTAACAGCGGAAATCCTAGTATAAAAGACGGGAGGCAGAGATGCATTGGGGGGGGGGGGGTTGACATTTACTAAGATCTCACTCTCAATAGCTACCTATGAATGGCGTACCCAGGAATTCCGCTCGGGAGGCAGGGCGGGGGGGGGGGGGGGAGGACAACGAATTTTTTGAATGAAGGTGCGTGGAGTTACCCGCGAATTCAAAGAAAATTTTTTTGGGGTGATTCCCAAGATTTTTGCGGACCCGAAAAAAAATTTTTTTACAAGGCTAATGTAGGTTCGAAAAATTTTCAAAATTCTTTTGATTACAAGTATAAGCAAGTCACTTACACTCTAAACTTATGATAAGTAACTATCACAAAGTTTGCCATCCATTCTCTCTCTCTCCCTCCTTCCCGGCTCCCTCCTCTCGGTACGCCCTTCCTACTTAAAAAATCGTGTACTAGAATTCATCAATGCACATGGCCATCAATTTTGTTGCAAAGCGAAAAAGAGGTGAGCAGGGGTCAGCACCTGGCACACTTGGTGGATGTCATCAAGAGGAAAGTAAAGGGAAAAACCGTGCCACTTAGAAATGATTCCCAAAAGAAAAACCTGATATAGTCTCTTCAGTCGTGAGCAGGTCAAAAACCAGGGTTATGCGTTACTTTTGCGAAGAGCTACAGTCGAATCGCTTGATATGATCATGTGTGTCATTGCACTCACTATCCACATTTGGCGTCCCCTTCCTGGATCCTAGGAACAGACACCTCTGGTGTTTTCGGTGTTTTCTTTGTTTTCTTTTTTTTTAGGCGCATAAGGCTAGTATTTCGCGCCTAGAGCTCTATTGTCACTGTCTAACTATCCGCAAGTCCTTGCTTACTACTGTAAACTTATTAGGCAGGAGTAAGAAATTGTACAAACCGAATTTTCCAGGTTTAAAGTATTTTAATGATGCCCGGCAACCAACCTCTCTTTTTCAAAGTCATCTTTCTTTCTTCGAAGTTAAAGACATCTTATAGTTGTACTGACTATCTAATCCAGTAGTGCTAAGCATGTTTCTGATAATAAAAAATGATGTGTCGTCATGGAAATTTCGCGGTGAAAATTGAAGCGTAAAAATACCATAAACCGCTATTTAGCGGCAATTTCCCTGACCTTACGAAAGCAACACTGACTGTGTTGTTGTTACACTTAGTACGCGAAACAGGATCAGTATGATCATTGCTGCCCACACCATCCTAGCTATTGATCTGATTTCTTTATCATGTTGACAGTTACATGCGGTCTTTGTTTGCAAACTTATCTGCCTTTGCAAACTTTACCTTTTTCAACTATGTTTTGAGTTTTTTGTGCCATTTTTTACGATTCCAAGCTCAAAAATTCGGTTTAGGATGGGCATTGCATACAATAGACATCGTTTCGTCATACTCGCTATCGGATTGATGTGCTTGACTAGCATCTGTTCTAACTACATAATTATCAATTTCACTTTCATCTGCATGAAGGAAGACATGTCTGAGGTCGTTGATACAGGGAATGGAGTAAGTTGCTGCCGTTTTTTTTGCAGTGTAGTTCTTCCAAATCACCTTAATTTCGAAAACAAGGATCTTATTTAGACTCTCAAAAGCATCTATGACTATACCCAGCAAGAAAAAAGCTCGATCATTTGGGCTGTGGCTATCGGAACCATTATTGGGACTTTCCCAATAAACTATCTCTACATAAAATATGGAGCAAGGTAGAGATTCCCCTTTGACAATAAAGAATAAATTGGTATTCGCTATCTTGCCAGGTACCCATTTTTGGTTGCGGGAATCATGTCAACGATTTCTACTCTTCTAATTCCCGAAGCAGCTCGACTGGGAATCCCAGTCCTGCTCGCAGTACGCTTTCTTCAGGTGGCACTTTATTCGATCTAAAAAAAGAACTTGCTATAGAAAGTTTTGGTATTTGGTATTGACCTCCTACGAGAGATAAATTCACAAAAGTTTATCGTACAAATATTTGAGGCACCGACTCAAATAAGCGTAGGTTGAATCAAGTAACATAATACGGTAACGAAAAAGTCATGTCCTCGAAAATATGACCAGCTGGAGCAATGAGAGTAGCGAAAATCATGCTGCCAGAAGGGGAAGTTTGCGCGGGCGTCTGCAACAAACGACGCGCCTTTACACATTACAGTCTGTGTCACTTGTCCACGAAGATGTAGCCTATAAGCGACTTCCTCTTCAATAAGTTTTTAGTGTACTACTACTGAATCTGAGCATCAAAGGCAATTAGAAATTTTTTCGGGGAGGGGCGGGGAGGCAGGCAGCACTCCGAGTATTTTAGGCGTTTCTCAGAATTTTTGCAGACCCATATCCCCGAGTCCATGAATCGTTTTGCAGAGCTCACTTGGATTTTTGAAAACTTTCAAAGATTATTGTAATCTCTAATATAATAAGAATAAAAATCTTAATATATAAAAATAAAAAGCCTCTTGAGTTTCTATAACTCACATTAGTAAGTTCTGCGAGTCTTGCGAGCAAATCCGAAGCGTGTGGGAGGGGGGGGGGGGAAGGAGAGGGGGTCCGCCACTGCCGATTTCTATTTTCTTATTTTTATTGTAGGGATTGGCTTATTCAGCAGATTTTGCTGCCATTGGTTTGGTTTGTGTTCGATGGGCTCCATTATCCGAATTAGCTATCTACATCGGTATACTCACTTCCTTCACACCGATTTCAGCCATTGTCACAAATGCAGCAACTGGACTAGTAGGTTAATCAGCATTGCTATCTATAAAAAATAAGTAAAAAAATAACTTTTAGTTATGCAGCTCACCACTAGGATGGAAATCTTCCTATTATCTACATGGAGCCTTTGGCGCATTAGCATTCTTTCTATGGTTTTTGTACTACTCAGATAAACCAGAAATATGTAAAAGTGTGTCGAAGAAAGAGCTCAGGCATATTCAGGTAAGTGGCTCTTGCTATGAAAAAGTTGATCGAAATTTTTCAGAAAGACAAAAGTGCAGAACACATCGAACACAAAAGTGATGTTCCATACAAGGTACGCGCATGTTATCGTCTGATTGCTTACCTTATATAGTTGAATTCTGCAATTTTTCGTTATATCAGTAAGAACGCGTTGGCGAGTATGAATAGAGAATTTTCGGAATGAGAGTTTCTTATGCAACTACTGACCTTCACAAAATTTGAAAATTTTCAACTTGCAGCTCATATATGCGCGTGTACCCCCAATCTTGTGGAGTACAGAAATTCGCGCAAGTGGACGTGTATCGTTGCTTGCATATTATTTATGTTCTAGATGCGGATTTAACTTTGTTCTAAACGTACACCAACTTTTCTACACAACGTAAGCATTGTATGTTAGATAGATTAAATTTTGATCTTCTCCAAAACTTCGGAATACTTGTTGTTGATTTATGTAATTTTCGCACCATTACTCGGAGAGACATGTAGCGAATCAAATTTTTTTCATAATACGTCTTTGGACCGAGTTTTAAATTTTTGCAATTTTTTCCCTGTGATCTGTAATACACTATTCCACTTGTAGCTCCTAGATAGCGATCATGTTGCATTTTGGTATTTTCTCTACTTGTTTCCTTCCAGTCTATGTTAAATAGTGAAAAATTAGGCTATAGCAGCCTCATAGTGTTTGAAAAAGGATTCAAGTTACAAGAAAAATGGTCTTTACTGGGGTCATACCCGGTATATCAGTTGCGCCGCTGGAAAGCTGTATTTACATTTGCCGTCTTATCTCCATTACCGCTATGATACACAGCGGCTTCTGGAATATTTTTCAATGAGAAGTGGGGGGGGGGGAGCAGAAATTATCATATTTTGATCAAAAGGAGTGGTGTTAGTAACTCCCCTTTGGGCGAAAGAGTTTGTGTCAGTTCCTAAAAATTTTTCGACAAGCGAAACTACGTTTTTAAAAATTTCTAAAAAATTGTTAAAAATTGATTAAAAAAAATAAGAACAAGTCTCTAGCGCGTTTTCAAAACTCATGTAGCCACTTTCAAGAATTTCGTAACCCGCTTTTGCCTGAAACACATCCAGCAGTCACGCTCATAGGTACATTTGATGATGAGATTCAAGTAAAATGGTGACTTGCAGGAGGAGCTATCCATTCTGGAATTCTATAACTGGCTAATTTCTCACTCTTTGACAAATTTGCATGAAATTTATACAAAATTTCCCTATTTCATCAAAGAGAAAAGAAAAGATAATACAGTTTTCTGATTAAGCAATCAGACACATTTATTTGAAGGTTGCATAATCAATATCATCTTTTCTACGACCAGGAGACGCGAAACTGCTTTGCGGACATTGTCTTAACAAGTTTGAGTTTGTTCTTTTCGTTTCCAAAGAGTGAATAAACCTGGACGAGATAAATAACAAGTACGAACCTGCTAAATTCACGATTAGGCTTGTTTAGACAGTGTGTGCAGTGCGGTCTCGCGTCTCCTAGTCGTAGAATGAATAATACCTCATATTTTATTGCATAATCCTGCGATTGTTGCCGTAAAATTATTTTTTACTACAGAAGCTGCTGACAAGCCCAGCCATTCTCAGCGTTTGGTTCAATGCTTTCTGCGAAATGTCGGCGATGATTTTGCTATCAACTTATTCACCTACCTACTTCCGTCATGTTTTTGGATTCAAAGTAGAAACTACGGGTTTCCTTGTATCGCTCACTACTATAGCTCAGCTGCCGGTCAAGTTAATATGTGGTCTAGCAAGTGATCGCATCAAGTGAGGCCTAGTATATAAATATTTCTGATACTCATAGATTTTTATTTAAATCTCACTTTAGATTTCTCTCAGAAAAAGTCAAAATGAACATTTTCAACACATTGGCAGTTGGAGTCGTTGGAGCGATGTTTTGTTTTGTTGGGTGAGTTGAGAACTACATATGTATTCAATATCCGGGTGCTTAGCCTTGTTTTGAAGCTTTTGTTTGATTACGTAGGTTTACGGTATCTGTGAAGGTCTCGGCTCCTCCGATTGGAAGATTTTGCTTTGAACGGGAAGTTTTACATGCTCATTGTAACTTCTCAAAACCTTTGTAGCCATATATACTCCTTTCAGTAGCGAGCGAAGATTGTGGCGGAAAATGAGCTGTGAAATCTTTTTCACCTTCTGAATAATCGGAGTAATCTATTTTGATATATACAGAAGTTGTTTGAAGGTTTTCTCTCCATTTTCGGAGTAGCTTGCAAAAAAGTTTGTAGAGTCTCAAACAATTTACGTAAGTAGATCTACATCGCTATCTCTCCCCTTTCAAAAAATATTTTTCTGCTTCCAGTGTCGTTTGAAATGAACTATGAATTTGTTTAGCAAACACTCTCCTACAGATCAACCAACCCTTCACGGTCTCAAGAGCTCTATCAGAAGAGTGGGGACAACAAAAAAGTTCATCTAAATGTTTGTTTTGAATCTTCCGTAGGTTTGGAGACTCCAAAAAAAAATTGTTAAGCTTTTGAACTTTTAGAAGTCCAAAAAAATCTCACTTATACACAAATGAAAACAAGCTATACTTGCACAATTTTGAAATTTAAGTAGGCCTAAAAAAATTTTTCAACATCTATGCCCCCGCCCCCGCTCTGTCCGATACTGACGTCGTTCTACCGTATACCTACCGGAATGAAAATTTCTACCGTGTAGAATGCACCGTTTTTTTATTTTGCATAAAATTTTGGCAAACTGTTGTTACTGCTTTTTCAGACAGCACAGAATATTACTCGACTCTAGCACATATTTTTTATCTGCAATTTTATAGCTATATCCCCTTGGACTTCAAATGGTATGCTGTGGTGATTTTCTCCCTCATTCATACTCTAAGCAGTTGCAATTGTGGTGGATTCTATAAATGTGGAACATTTGTAGCAAGGTAAGGACATCTGCCCTTTTGTTTATTGTGGTCATTTACGTGCTTTCGTCACACTGAGACTGTTCCAGACAACATGCTCATGTGGTTATAGCTACAATTCAGTTTATGAAGTGCATAGCTCTATTTACGGCACCGGCACTTGTAAATGCTTTTGTTGAAGACGATTCGAACAAAGGGCAATGGGCAACAGTGTTCCTTGTCTGTGGTATCGTCATGATTATAGTGAGTTATTTTAGATAACAGATAACAGATAAACAAATAGCGGGTGTAAGGAAAGGCAATGAACTACCAATCGAACAATAGCTTCAGAGGAGTGTAAATTTTCCAATAGAAAAGTTTATCACTTTTCGAAATCAGCAACCAAAAGATGATTTCCATCGTAAGTATTACCCTAAAATCTCACCATAAGCCCGCTCTTTTGAGCCAGAAAATCCGCCCCTATAAATCTTTCAGATGAGTTCGCCAACGAAGAAGTTCTTTTTCCATTTAAAAGCCTAGATAATTCCGAAGACTGCAGATAAGTTAGGAATTATCTTAGACGGACTTATCTGATGGAAGGCCCTACCTGTGAGATTTTTGGGGTAACATTATTACATTTTGGCGGGGTCTCAAGTCTCAAAAAATTAAGCTACTACAAGAAGTCAAAGTATAGGCAGAGCTAGAGTTCTGCATTTGGGAGTACAATAGAGATTGAAATTGAGGATCATGGAACAAGTGCTCTTGATTTTCAATTTTTCACTAAATTCTTTTGAATCCTACAATCACTACGGAAACTTCTTCTTACACTTATTCAGCATACGACCAAATCGCCATTGCCGTTATATATTATGGTGCTTATTGTTGCGTATAAATCTCTTCGAAAATGCAAAAAAGCAAAGAAACTGTCAGATGGGTTGCAAAGGCCAGCTACGGTCGTTCGGTACCTTCGGAGATGGTTTTTCTCCCTTGTCCGATGTCTTTATACCCCGTAAGAATGAGCTAGGGGAATCAAATTCAGTCTGGACTATCACAAGCTATGGGAATGAGTGGAAATTTCTCAGTTTTCCACTACTGTTTTTGTTTGATCATTTGTGTTGACTCTATGCAAAGAAACCGTAATTCTCGTTAATCTCGAGTTTTTTTTTCTTCTTTAAACGTGGGCATCGCGAGTGATGCTGACTGTGAGATGTTGTTACATGATTTTGTGCCAGCGCCAGGTCTGTACGATACTTCTCTATCGGTTTTGCGTTTCGGCGAGATCGTCTTCGTCAAAGTCTCAAAGTAAATTGGAGTGTTTTATCCGCCGGACCAAAGTGCCAAGCGTCTCCCCCGGGGTCAAGCAAGAGGTGTGGCTCACAAGCGCCGGATACGACACCCCGCCCCCCTATCTTCTGTCCCAATACCCCCCCCCTTCCCACCAGCATTATCGTTTGCCTTCCATAGGCATGAGATAAAGGCTCTACCATACATAATTAGGTACATAAAGAAGTGCTAGGAAATTGATTGAAGAAAGTGGTAAAATGAAGAGTGAATGCGAGTCCAATGTTGTCCAACATACCCGTATTTATCATGTCAAATAACCACCATAGCGCCTACGGTAGCGCTCCCTGGCCCCGTTGAACGCATTGTAAGTTGTGTGGGGACGTGGCCTAGACTCGGCAGTGCGGAAAGGCATTTGTTGTTCTCTCATGATAGAACACCATTCTAATTTGAGGCTTTCAAGACGAATTTGTCAAAATCTATTCCAGTAAAAAAATTCCACCGTACAATCCTGGCACTGGCATAAAGTCATACAAAAGGATAAAGAATTTGGTATTCCAATATTCTCTGGGGTACGCGCCGAACGCATTTCACTTCATAAGCGAAGAGATGCCTATTACAGTGACTTGCGGGGCCAGCCGATCACAAGTCAGTGCTTTTATCTTCCCAGATTACTCTGGTAACAATTTACCAGCCCCGGAGGATAGAGGGCCTAGGTGCCCAGTGGCGAGGATCGAACCTAGGTCCGATCTGGTCATAGCGGCGCGTTATGCCACTATGCTACTTGTCGTCCCTAAAGTCATATAAAAACATGTAATCCTTGAAGCAATTAATCCTCCATACTTGCAGGCTAACTTCCTGTCATTCCCGGTTTTCACGGATCAAGCTGCAGAATGGACGAATTCGAAAGCAAAAATAAATGAAGAAAAAGTTGAAATGAAAGAGGTTAAATGTTTATGGTCAGATAGTTGAAGTCCAGTGAAAAGTCTCCAAGATCCATATACATCTCATTTCAGAAAGAATGACAAATAACGTTGTCGCAGTCGCCTTACTTGGTGTCTACTTACACCGCCTATTTCTTACCCTTCAAACAAAGCTATCAGAAATCCAAGAATAATAATAAACGATTGCGATCATCATGTCTTCGACTATCATCAAATATCAGAGCCCTTGTTCCAGCGAAATATAGACATTTGTGCCGCCTGGTGCAGCAATAGGATCTGGTGCAACAAAACACAGTAGTATTATTCCAACCGCGTTTGTTGTCAGCAACGATTGTATATTCTATTTACTTCTTCGTTACGTGCTTTTACCATTTACATCGAAATAACTACTAGTTGATTGCGATAGCAGATGCCCACTTATTTACTGATATTTGATAAGTGTGAATAGGAAAGTAGCAGATATTACTCCAGTCATTTGCCAAGAAAGAAATTTTTGGCTCTGGCAAAAGGCATCTTAACAGAAGCTCGAGGTTATACCAAACCCGACTTTGAAAATGCAAGCACATGCATCCATTTTCTAGGCTCGGTTTTTGCTGTGCCTGATATGAAAATAGGGGCGAACAAAGAAAAATCTTTTTAGCCAGCTTTTCTGTTTAAAACGTGAGCTATGTGAAATACTACTTCATCTATAACGACCTGGGTGCAGTACGACAGTATCGGGAGCGCGCTCTCCATTTCTGGAGCAAAAAATAAAAGAGGTATCGTAGAATATGCTATGGATCACATCAAGCACTCCGTGCATATGCCTGTGGAAAAAGTTGCTAAAGAACTACATGGTCGGCCGTGTTTTATCAAAAACGAGCAGCAGTTCGAACGTAAGACTGGAATAAACAGATGCTTGTTTGTAGCGTAGAGACAAGCATATGACATCAAACATAGTCTATTAATATAACCCCGGTTTGGAGCCAGTCTATCGTGCTTGACCTCTCATGCAGCGAAGCTTATCCTTTCAATTCCAATTCCTCCTGAGTTCGATTCCTACCGTCCTTACCATGTCTTGATGACCAGCAGATTAAAATAAGCTTCATCGCTTATCCTTCGTGGCTATGGGGAATGTGCATAGACATACAAATTCTCTGCTTCGTATATGTACACATTATTGAGAGAAGTCTTTGTAGATAGTTTTACTTTGTTAAATTCCCAATCAAGTTTTTTCAAGACGCTCACCAAGACAACTGGGTACTCTTGAAGCATATACTTCTTTCTGTGTGTCAAAAGTCTATCCCTAAGGTAAACCAATTTATATCGTTGCCTCTTTTTTTGGTCTGAACAAGAACTCTCTTTGAGAGCGTAAAGTTTTCATTTGCGGTCCAAGTGCAAAATTCGGATGGAACTCAAAGGCTAGACAAGAGGACAAGTGGTGGGCTCTGGTAACAAACCATAATTTGCTCAAACGGTCGTACACGGGAAAAACTCCTCTTTTCGCTTGCATGTCTGGAAAATTTTAATTTTTTTTTCAGTTCAGTCACCATCTTATGCCCCTCGAGTACTTTACAATCTTTACAATCTATTTTTGGCAAATGGTTGATTGCAAATATAACGAAATAACGAGCTATTTACGAGCGGCATTCGCAATTACCTTGTGCAATTGCTTTCACAACTGCAGCACAGTGAATGATTAAGCTATTACCGAATGAACTTTCAGAGTAGTTTCAATAAATTATTCGAGTGTTTTTTCATTGTATTTTATGAAGACCAGGTGAAACTCTGTAGTTGCTTTCTCTGGAAAAAAAATGCTTCAAAGAACACACTATAAGAAACATTGTGCTTCCTCCATTAGAAATTATTCATTAGAAAGGTAAAATGAAACGGAGCAACGATCGATTTTGGTATCGCACGGCATAAAGGCTCATTTGACATACAATAACCTTCCATTTTTTGCTCATTTACACCCCCCCCCCCCTCCCCCTCGCCCTGCGGCGATATTTTCATTTCAACCTTGGTTGCACTTTGGAAGACACAGTGAAGGCATATGTGGCTATACACAATACCGAGACACCATCACACTTAGAATCCTCGGACTAATCATAACGGTGATACACGTCATGAATGATTTTGTTATGATCGAGATCATTTTTTAATAAAAACATTCTTTATTTTCTTGTTGAAATATATGCTATCTGCATTTTGTGAATGCCACTTAACGTTTTATATAACGTGAATGACTACAGGGTGCCTCAGAGTTATTTGCGCCAAATTTGAAGAGTAGTGCCACAACAAAACCAGCAAAGAAACTGAACTGGATTTCATGTCACATAATGCCATAAACATAGTTTGTAGGATTGTCAAGACTCCAAAACAATCTTTATTTGAAGAAGTAATAACTGCAATACACAATGTTTGTCACAGAAAACGCATGCTGACGAGAACGGTAGTCAATAGTCATTTTTGTTTTGAACTCTTTTAAAAATCAATAGTAATTGATCTTGAAGCAAGGATTAGCTCACTTTACTGCAAAGCTTTACTTTAGGGAAGCTATAATTATAAAGGTACATACTGAGCAAATTTGTGAGCTGACCCAAATGCAGCACGCGACATAGTCAGAAAAGTATGAATTACGGAAAGGTAAAACAAACAAATTTGCATTTTTCAACTAGATTACAATGATTTGGAACTAAGAAAACCAAATCAAACTTGAGCTTTCGCTGAATTGCTTTCATCTTCGTATGGCGCTTAGAGATACACGCACAAATAATTGTGACGGCACCCTGTATTTTCAAAAAAAAGAACAATATTATATCGAAAAAGGGTGATGTGCTCTCAAGTGAAATCATGAAACAGAAGGCATCATGACGCTGAAAGGGAAATCCCGCGCGGATATACCACAATATACAGCGGTACTCTACAGCAAGGCCTTGAGTCAGTTATTTTCGCGCGTGGACCCAACGGCGACTTAATGTCCTGTTCCCGAACACAAATTCCAGAATGCAATACCAGTCAACTATAAAGCGACTATGAGCTTTTTTCTGGTTCATGCTATTCTGAAGTCATGCCATTGCGCTATAGCTTAAATGAGGGAGTAAGCGAATTGGACTTCTGTCGGCTTGGAGGCGCAAGACTTTCCACGGGATTGATTGCTGATGTGACAGGTTGAGGAGAGGTGCGTTGTGGCGATTTCGGTTCTATACCGAAGATATATGAGAAAACAGTGCTTACACATGCTCTGTATGGTGTCACAAAATAAATTGTAATTAGCGGATCAAGTATAGGACCTGAAGAAAATCAGTACTAGGTGATGGAGAAAATGATATTTTAGCGCAACTGGCATATGTAGGCGAGTCATCGCACGCAGAGAGTAGACGCGCGCCATCTACGTTAATTCGTGTATGGAAGAGACTGCAAACTGTAAGAAAGATGAAAGAGTGTTTGACCTGAGAGGAAACAACAATGTCCGCAGTGACGCGCTTCTCTGCGTGTAATAATTCGCTTGAGACGTCCATATATACTCACCAATGCAAAGACCCGGGGCTGTGAAATAACTGAGAAAATGCGGTTGCAAAACGCCAAATTGTACTAAGCAATAGGCTATAGCCGGTGGAAATATAGACAATAAGGGCATCAAAGATTGCAGTGTAAGGGCCTAAAATCATTGAACCTTTTTTTCGAGCGTAGGTAGTGCAAAAATCACCTTTACAAATCTCTCAGTAGCCAGCTTTGATTGCGCAGATTGCATAAAATACAAGTTATTTAGGTGAGAAAGAATCATCCATCGAAAAATGAAAATGACGATATAAATAGGAACTAGAAGAATAGTGACACAGACTACCGTATAGGCAATGCATGGCTGGAAAGCAATTTTTGAACTTTATCCATCGTTGTAAAAGCTTTCTTTTGTCGTTTTTCCACTATGTAAGGCAGAAGAAAAATCTGTGAGCTAAGGATACCTGTATGATATGCGCGAGCACAATCATATATTCATCAATATTGTCCACTAAATCGTGAGTGAAATTCGCAATTTCCTTTTTGTTGACTGAGTAGCGCAAATCCACAACTGTTACCTAGAAATGGTTCCAGAAAATTCTTTCTAATATTCCAGAATCAACGACAATTACTTCATGATCTTATAATCTCCAAAAACGTATGATTTTTTAGGTTCAGATAAGATATTAGCTTTCTTGATCTTGCACAAATGGATATTGAAGTGTGGAAAGAAAGGCTATGCTTGTAGTTTTCAGACGGCGGCGATGATGATGATCATGATGCCGGCGCAGTGCATATGTCATTGTGGACTGCATTGCTGAGAAACGTCAAAAAATGGCCTGGATTTTTACGCAGCGATGAGGGAGAGAGTGTTGTCAATGAGAGCTCGTCAAGTTTTTCCATGTCCAGTCCCCCGTTCAAGTACAACAACCGCTTGAAGGCAGTGGCTCGGCAAAACTGAATATATTGAGACTTTGATGTGTTGAAGCTTACCTCTCAAACAGAGCTCGGCACGAGCTGGCACCAAGGAAACTCAAAACAAAGAAAATCTCTGTTGATCCTAAGAATTCCGTTGGAGGTCCCCTTTTACCCGAAACCCTAAACGCAAAATACCCTAGAAAATGAAACCTCAACTGAAAAAAAACGTCCAATTTTTGTGTCTTGGCCACAAAAACGATATCTTCTCTGCTTTTTGTCCCAAAAACGATATCCAGCTTGACCCGATGCAGATCTGCCGAGCCATTCTCCCAAACATGGAAATTGATTAAGTCCGGTCGCTCTCCTCTCATCCTGCCGGGAGAATTGCCTAAGGCAGCTCGGCAGAATGACCGAAAACGATGAAATCCCGTTGTCATTCTGCAGAGCTGCTACCTTTAAACCCGTGCGCGCAAGCCATTCTTACACGCACTCGGACGAGCTCACGACTTCCATCCACCATCGGAGGCGGCATGCCGCAATGTTATAATCGTAAGGTCCCGCAACGACTCTGCGTCTCCAACCATGGCGAAAACTGATTCACTCATCCATATTCAAAATGGAGGGTCTCGGGAAAGGCTAATTACAATTTTCGCGTTCAATGTGAATATTTGGAATCAGCATTTTGGATAACCCTAGGTAAGCAGAAAATTCAGGTCAAAGATTGCCAGCCACTGCCTTTAAACGCAAAATTTGGTTCAACTTCAAGTTGAAAACATCTTACCAGTATAGTTATT